CCCCTTTTTTCTATCCCTCTACACACTCCTTTTTCTCCTTTCTCTAAACAGACTATGTGGATAGAAAGAACAATGTACACAACTGCCTACTCATTCCCAGGCATCCTTAAATGGTTTGAAGTCAAACAGATTACAACGGTGAGTACTTTGTAGGGGTAGATTACAAGAGAGGTTTTGTATTTCAACATATAGAGAACATTTAGGATCAGATCTTTGGTCCATCAAGTTTAGGAGTGACCAGTGTAGATGTTCGCATCTCGTATTGTACCTGTCTGTACAGTTCTACGTGCTGGCAAAAAAAAAAAATTCCTGGATAATTGTAAGATATCATAGAAAAGAATTCTTTCCCTAATCCGAAGCACCTCATGCCACTTCACCCTTACAGCAGCTTATGTCATTCAAACAAATGCTTAAATCAGTGCCTAAAACTGAGGTAGGGTTGAGTTCCTTTATTTCTGTAGGTTACTGGCAGCAGAATATTCAGGGCCAGTCCTGTTCTATGATGTGCTGTCAGCCTCTGCCAGTCACTGATGGGTTGAAATTTGCATAGCAGGTAGCAGGTATTTCCTAACATTGCATTCAGCAGGTATCAGGGAAGATTTACAGTTGCGTATGTGTTTACCATTCAGGAAGAGATAAGCCCCTTGGAGAATGCCATTGAAACTATGGAGTTAACCAATGAGAAGATCAGCAACAGTGTCCAGCAGCATGCCTGGGACCGGGCCCTTCCTGTGCACCCACTCTCCATGCTTCTGAACGGCATTGTGGACCCAGCTGTCATGGGTGGATACACCAATTACGAAAAGGTCAGCTGGCTGCATTCAGAGCTTGTGCATCCTTCAGAATAGTTAAAATACCAGTTCTGCAGGTAGAGTTAGACCATGTCAGGTGAGTGAAGCAAGGCTTCTGCCACTGCTCAGCAGAAGACATGTTGTTGACACTCCTGTACTTTCTGCTGCGTTAGCAGTTCTTTCTGGAACTACTGCTCCGAGAGGATTTGGCACTGTGTAGTGGAACTGCTAGAAGTACTACAAGTGAAAAGCTCTGGGAGCCTGGTCCCAGAACTGTGGGCAGAGATGGATAAGAATGGACAATAGCCTGTGATTTAGGAGCAATGGGTTTACTTCCCTGCTTGTATTTACACCTTGGGCAAATCATTAAATCTGTGTTCTTTAGTTCCTCAGCTGTGAAATTCTCTTAGCCTTTTCCTTATCTGCTTATTATCAAAGAAGAAATGGTAAGAGCACAGGTAAAGGAGACAGGTTGGTTGGCCTGGAACTTGGGAGACCTGGCTCAGTTCCCTCCAGTGCCACAAGTGTTCTGTGTGGCCTGTGGTAAGTCTTAGCTTCTGTCTGGCTTGGGGATAGCAACACTGCCCTGCCTCACAGGGGCTTTGGGTGGAAAAAATATATTAAAGATTTGTAAGGGTTTCACATATTACTGTGAATTGCAGTACTATGCAGTACTAGCAAATTGATGCACGTATCTGGATTTTAATACTATAAAGTGATAGTGGTGAGACACACAGGGATTTTGAAAGCAGTTCCTGTCAGCTTTCAAAGTTATATTTTACCTAGGTAGAGCCATAGTAAAGAGAAGTCAGTTTGGAATAAGAACATATTTCTCTCCCTTCTTAGTTTTTACATTTGTTGGTGTGGCATATGTCTCTCTTCTTAATGATGTTGACCTTAATCACGTTGGCGCTTTGCCTCTCCATGTTGCAAGTCCTAAATAATGCCATTCCTTAGCCTGAAGATGACTCAGTATATGGTGCGAAAAACGTGCCTGATTTTCAAAAATGTTTGTCCTATGAGATGAAGCATAACTGTTAAAGAGGATTGGGTCACAATTATCCCCAGTGTAAATGTGCTGATTCCAGAGAGGTTGAACAGTCCACCAGGGATGAATCGGGACAAACATATTCTCATTTTATGAATTAAAGTTGACACTGAGTTCAGAATTATGAAAGTGGGAAAGCAGTTAAAATGAGGAAGCTTAGAGTAACTGTGACCACATCTGGAAGTACTCATTTTTAATTCATATTTTTCTACCTTGACTACGGATCAGCAGAGATTTTTGGTTTTTGCGGGCAGCTGGAATCTTGTGTTTAATTGTTTCCTTTGTAGTTGAAAGCCAAAAGACTGATTTGACTATGGGCCCTCTTTTTTTCATTTTAATAATTAAACACTCGGGAAAAATCTAATTGGGCTTAACTTTGCATTCTTTTCACAGGCTAAGCTCCTATTGACATCAGCAGGTGATTCATCTGTTTAGGAAGTTATCGCTAGGCCCATAAACCCTTGTGCACGCAGTTCAGTTAAGGGAACCCAGGTTGAAATAGGACAGAGCAACATGTTCAAAGTAGATGAAAAGTTTATTGAGTATTGTGCCTAGGTACTGTCTTAAAATTGCTTATCCCCTCAGCAGTAATCATAAATTTTGAGACTAAATTCAATCAATATTTAAATTAGTGGAATTTTGGTTCAAGGCTGCTGATCAGGACAGGACTCGAACATTTGCTCAATTTTATGCATATACTTGCTTTTAAAAATCAATGGAATTTAAGTACCTGCTTACCTTTTGGAGTAGAGGTACTTCACTGAACAAGGGTGTTACTAAAAATCTCAAGATCGTATTAACGGTGGAGTTGCTACTGATATATCCATTAAAAAAAACATTTACGGAACTATGCTGTCCTAGGTAGTCTGTTCTTTATATTGGGGCTTTGATTTTTCAACGTGGGGAAACACTGGCTTCTTCACCATTCTTTCACCAGTAGAGATATTTGTCTCTTGCTGTTGGTATCCTTGAGGACCAGAGCTGCTTAAAAATGATATCATCCTTAATGCTCTTCTCTTTGTTTTCAGGCCTTTTTCACAGAGAAGTATGTCCAAGAACACCCTGAAGACAATGATAAAATTGAATTGCTTAAACAATTAATTGCTTTACAGGTAATGTAATGGGACAGTGTGTGTGGTGTTTTTGCCCAATATTTTATTTTTGAGCACCACAAGGAGAAAAAATGTTATATGAGCAAATAGTAATGGTGTTATAGTAGTTAGTTACTTTAGGCAGTATTGTAGTGTAATGGCCATAATTGTCCAAAAGACTGAAGTAATGCTATAGAGCAGTCCACCAGTATTCTGGAATATACTGTCTTTTTTTTCAGGGAGGTGTTTCTTTTGCGTCTAGTTAAATACACATCCCCCTCTTTTTTTTCCCCCGTCTTAACTACAAAAAAGTTGGGGAGTTTGGTCTGTTGAAAAGTCTTGCAGTCTGAGCCACATAGCCTTGTGTGGCAATGAAAATCATGAAGGACATTTTAATGAAAAGTCTATCCCAGTAGAGGATCAACCTGTTCCATTTCTCCCAGTTCCCATTTCCATATGGTGGAACCAAGTCAGAGCTACTATTTTGGAGACTGAAGAAATGGCATCCCCATGTTTTATATAGTAAATACTACAAACATGCAATACAATGTGTATATAGAAAAAAAAGGAGGTAGGGCATGTGAATGTCAGAAAGAAAAAAAAAACAAAAAAACAAAAAAACTCCTACCTGATCCCTCCAGAAATCACCTTACATGCTGAAGCATGAAAGTTACCTTTTTTCATAGCAACCTTTGTTTCCTGGCATTTCGCTGCTGCTTTCAGATGCCACTGCTAGCAGAAGGGATTAGGATTCATGGTGAGAAACTGACTGAGCAGCTGAAGCCCCTGCATGACAGACTGACATCCTGCTTCAAAGAGCTGAAGAAGAAGGTGGAGAAGCTCTATGGTGTGATAACTCTGGTAAACGTGTCTTGTTTGTTTAGCATGGTACTTTAAAGAGACAAAACCAAATGCACCCTCAGACCTAGCATCTTCTCCCAGTGTGAATCTGAGCTCTGTTTAACATTCTCTGCAGCCTTCTTCCTTTACTGAGCGGAAGCAGAGCAGGTCGGGCTCTGTAGTGCTGCCCTACATCATGTCTTCCACACTGAGACGGCTGTCTATCACATCCGTGACTTCCTCTGTAGTCTCAACATCCTCCACCTCATCTGAGAGCACCTCCTCCAGGCCAGGATCAGATGGGTGAGTAGCCAGCCATTTAAAAATGTCATGTTTGAGGTGTAGAAATGCCTTTTATGAGTTTAGGCTATTTGAATATAATCTCATGGAAAGGTGTTTCCTAATGTCCTTTGAATTTTTAAGGTAAGATTTTATCTCGGTGGCAAATTATAAGATGACACAGATCTTAGATGGGACTTGCACATTTCCACAACCAGCTTACTCCTGAATCAGGCACAGCTGGTGAACTTGGGGATGGGTGGGGCGGGTGACATAGGTGGAGGGGGGAAAAAACGAATTTTGGAGGGGAGCTGAACGCAAGTGTGCCTGGAGGAGCTGCTGGGCTCCGATTGTCCCACGACCCAGCCTGGCCAGGGCCCCATTCACTATGAATGGAGCCCTGGCTGGGCCAGGTCATGGGACAATCGGAGCCCGGTAGTTTGTCTAGGGGCATGGTGCGGGAGAGCCAAAGGGGGAAAATGTGCCTTGGCTCTGCTGTGGTGCGTGCGGCAGCGTGGAGCCGGTCCTCCCCCTCCCCTGGATGAGCCACCCATGGTCCCATCCTGCTCCCCACTGGGGCCATGCAGCCACATATTGCAGCCCCAGCCCTGCCTAGCTCCCTCCCTACAGGGGCCTCAATCCCCTTCTCCCCCACTTGCCTGCTGGAGCTGCTCTGCAGGCTGCCTGGGGCCACGTGTATGTCTCTGCATGTGGCACCCCCTATCTTCTGCCTTCCTCCCAACAGCTCTTTACCTGGGCTGGGGCATCAGTACAGGCACCCTGCTGCTCACTTAAACAAGTGGTTATTTTGATCCATTCTAACTGTTGAAGTGTTTCTACTGCACATGAACCATTGGAGCGGTAAGGAGATAGCCCCAAGGTGCCTTAGTGCACATATGCGTAGTAGGCTGGACCAGCCTGCATAATCATGACATGATTGAACATGTCTTCTGAAACTGGTGGGGCAGCACCCTGTTGGCCTGCCGCCACTGTCCCGAACCAGTGATGTGTTTCAGCTAATTTGCTCTTCAAGCAGCATATCCACTAAGATGGCTCTGCTGCTTCCCATACCAGAGCTACTGTGCAGTGCAACTGGCCACAGAGGAAGTTGGGGCAGGTGGGTTTTGGGGGTCAACCAACCTGCTCCTTCCTCCATATCCAGTCTTGCATTGCACATACAGGTTGAGAGACACTGATTTAATCTGTTGATGCCCAAATTGCATCTGCAGCGAGCTTAGTCAGTCATGGAGCATTAGCTCTGCCTCTTTGTTTTCCAGCTGCAAAACAGCAGTAAAATAAGTTAGACAACTTAAATCCTGTCTGATGTGACTTGTCCACGTAAGTATTTGAAGCTGTAATTGCCACAGGGCCTAGGTGACTTAACCAAGGTCCTAAAGCACTTCCACGGCAGATCCCCGTCTCCCAACTCCCATTGCCCTATGCACTGGACCACGCTCCACTCCATGCGTAATGTATAACGTACTTGGATGGTCTTTCCTAAAGCATGAGAGTACCTTTTGGAGCATGAAAATCTTGTGCTCCTTACTCAATTTTGCACAGTAATCCCTTATATACAATAAAAGTTTATGGCCTGCTTGCAGATAGGGGAAGAAAAGACAAGGTAAATGCTAACAGCTTTTGTTTTGCTGTTTCTGCGTGGGCTGTAGATCCATTCTTGAGCCTCTCTTGGAAAGAAGAACTTCAACTGCTTCCAGGTCTGAGGAGCTGCCTGTCAAAGAAGATGGTGATAGCCGGATCAACAAGTTCAAGCGGAAGGACTGGAGTATTAGCAAGTCTCAGGTTATTGTGGAAAAGGAGCCAGACAATGACTTGACTTCCGAAATGGTAAAATCCTAGTACTGAAGTCCACAGTGAGTTGTTTGTGTTTCCTTTTCTTTCGCTCCTGCTTGTTGTTAGGATCTCTGTTTAATGCTAGGAGGGGTTCAAATACCAAAAGCCTTGGAAAGCAATTACTTTACTTTTGTTTGGAAAACTTGTCATGGGCCACACTGTGGTTTGACTTCAAGTAGACTTCAAAACTGAGGGAGTGAGTCTTCAGTTGGGGCCTACACCTTTCAAGTGCTCAGCAACCTCTCTCTCTCTCAAACGGAGGACAGTTCCAGGCAGCCAGCACCACTGCAGAATTGGTTCCTTTGTATTCACATAACCAGGTACATCTTAACCACTCAGAATTAGTTCTGCTTCTTGCCTACTGACTTACCTTGCAGAGGTGTGATAAGAATTTATTCTGCTTCTCAGAGGTAAGTAGGTCAGGTGCACTTCCCATCAAATATGGCTAAGAACTGTTTTCAGTTCAGGAGCTAGCTTAGGTATATATTTGGTACTGTGTAGGCATACCATAAGTGTTTCATGATCATTAATGAACAGACCTCTATGGCATCTCTGCGTGTATTTCCATTTTGAGTACTTCCATTTTGCAGAGGGACTTTCAAGGAAAGAAGAAAGACTTAAGTTTCCAAAAGTAGAATATTGGTGTCTTAAATCCCACAAGTACCCCTGAAAATCTTAGCAGAGATGTTGGGTAACATGAACCAAAGACATGTAGACAGCGTGTCCAAATTGACAACTGGACCCCAATTTCCAGAGTTCTGGACCTGTAGGATTCCTTGAGTAAAACCACTCTTCCTCTGTGGGAACAAAATGGAATGAGACCTGCAGTCCTTTAGATGGAATGACACACACAGTCACTCCCAGTCCTGCTTCCAAGGATTTTCCAGATGATTCACAGAACAGGTAGATCAAATACAGCCACTTTCTACTTTGAATTTTCTTTGACATAAAAAATGTCCTCCTTTAATGGATATATTGAGATGGTTTAAAAAGAACCCATTCTTGGGTGTCTACATAAGATGCTTTACTGCACAGTAGCACATGGTTAATGTGCAGTAGGCTATGCATCTATACTTCCACACACTTACTACGCAGTAAACTTGGCTAATCATGAGTAAATTTGCTACCTGCAAATGCAAGCAGCAAATTTTACTTGTGATTAGTTACTGTGCAGTAGTGCCTGCAAGTGATGGATTGTGCCCTGCCCCTGAGAACTGACCGCTGCCAGGTTGGGCTCCGCCATCAGAGCCCAGGCAGGAACTATGTACCCCTGCCCCAGCAGCAGGGAGCTCCAAGCCCCCTGCTCAGATGCTCGGAAATCATGGTGGGGGTGGGGGGCTGGGAGATCCTTATCTTCCAGCTCCTCAAACAAAGAACTGGATAAAAAGTGCAAGTGAAGAACTGGATAAGCAATGTTAAAAAGGATATTGCTATAGCCTACAGCACTAGTAGAGTGACAATGCTGATAAAATTTTCAGTGGGATCTTGTTAAGTATCAGTGGGTGTGTCTACACATACATTAGATCTGGGAGCAGTTTAATTCTGAGTAAATGCACCTGGGCAGATGTCTAAACATGCAGGGAAGAGGGAGCAGTTTGCTGCTAATGGCAGCAAACTACTCCTGCTTCCTGGGGCCCTGCAATGGGCCCCTGCCATCAACCCAAGGAGTTCTATGCTTCCCCTGAGTACTAGCTCAGGGGCTGGCAGGGAGAATCAGGCCAGGAGATGGCTGTCTTCTGGCTGGGGTGGGACATTGCTCCCTGGCCTTGGTGGGGCTGCCTGCTGCCAGGGCAGGGACAATGTCCCCCTACCCTGGCAGCAGGGAGCTCCTGGGCTTGGCTCCCTGATTGGGGCAGGAGACTTGGAAAGAGCTGCAGGGGAGGGACAGGTCCCAGCCCCCTGCCTTAATCTGCTGGTGGGGCAGCTAGCAGCTAGCCCCCAGCTTGGGAAGGGATTCCCCACCTGGGAAGGAGCTTGCTGCTAGTTGCCCCACTGGTGTGTCGGGGTAACTGAACACCGAGTGAATCGGGCCCCAAGGTCACGGTGGGCCGGGGTGGCCATTGGAATATGAACAGGTGGGATTAGCGGCGGTGGAGTGCGAGCTGTACGGGAAGTTTAAACAAAGATGATTTATTTACTCACGCTTGGGAAGCGGAGGCTCAGATATTTCTTCAGTTACAGTATAACGAGCAACAAAGGGGTCTGTTGGCCCACGGGGTTCACTAGCGAGCCCTTGCTTTCTACCCCCTGAGGGATAGGTGCAGCTGCCCACTAGCTAGTCCCAGGGCTGGTCAACAGCTCATGAACGGGATAACAAACAACAAAAACTGTAACGTAGCGAACCGAGGAACGGGGTCGTGACGCCAGTCCAAAAGACAGTCCGTAAGCCGAGGTCGGAGATGAGAAGCCAAACAGTCCCGTAACCGAGATCGAGAAGATGAGTCGCTCCACCCGCCGTCCGCAGCCTCTGCTCACAGGATCGTTCTCTCCCTGTGAGAGAGTCCCTGCAAAGGCAGCTTCTGCTCACAGGATCAAGCAGAGTCTCTCTTCCAAAACGCACACATACCACCTCACCACCCCCGGGTGGCAGCTCACAAACCTTTTATAAGAATTTAGTGGCCAATCAGAACACTCCTCATGGAGAAGTTTCTAGTCAAATTATATCATGCAGTCAGTGAACTGAGCATGCTTTACCTCATGCTCTGTGATTGACAAGCCTCCAGGTCACCCAGAGGGCACATACTAGGGGCCTGTCTGTAGTTTCAATTCCCTGTAATGGCAGCACCAAACTTAAGATTTTTCTTTGACATGGTGGATGGGGCAGAGGGCTGGGACCTGCCCCTGGGGCAGGGGCAGGGGCCTGGACTCGATGATCTTCCAAGGTCCCTTCCAGCCCTAATGTCTATGAAATCTATGACCTGCCCCACCCCTGCAGCTCTTTCTAAGCCTTATGCCTCTATTAGCTGGTCAGGGCACGGGGCTGAGACTTGCCCCTGACCGGAACAGTTCCCAGCCCTCACTTCATGATGATCACAGGGTGGGAGCTGGGGTGTCTGTTCCCTGTTCAGCTTTGTGATCGTGGGATTCCCTGCCCAGCCAGGGGCTCGCTGCTAGCTGCCCCACCAGTGGATCAGGGCAGGGGGCTGGCACCTGTCCCCCCCCCCCCCCACAGCTCTTTCCAAGTCCCCTGCCTTAATCAGGGGGATAGGCCCAGGAGCACCCTGCTGCCAGGGGAGGGGGACATTGTTCCCTCCCTCCAGTGACCAGGAGACGGCTGTCTCCTGGCCCTGTTCTCCCTGCCAGCCCCTGGGCTAGTACCCAGGAGGAGTCTAGAGCTTCCCCCTGGTGGTGGCAGGGGCCCATTGCAGGGCTCCAGGAAACGGGAGTAGTTTGCTGCCATTAGCAGTTTGCAGCAAATTGCCCCTACTTTCCTGCACGTGTAGACGCCTGCCCGGGAGCATTTGCTTGCAAGTAAATTGCTCCTGGATCTAATGAACGTGTGGACCCATCCACTAATGCTTGCTAAGATCCTGTTGAAAATGTTAGCAGCTTTGCTTCTTTCCTAGTGTTGTAGGCTATGGCAATATCCTTTTTGACACTGCTTATCCAGTTCTTTGCTTGCACTTTCATGTTTCACCTGAATGCACCTTTCTCTCCTGTATGTGGCTGTTCTGGTGCATGTTGATGCCCTTTTGACAGGTTTGGTTATTCGATATGTGTGCAGCAACCTTGCCAACTTCCAAAGGTTTTGTTTACTCTGTTTTCCCTCAGTGCGCGTCGGGAAAAGCGCAGAGGCCAAAGAGTCTTCAATTAGGAGACAACAGATTGACACTGCTTCAGGATTCCTCACTCCAGCAGTCAGCACCACTCAGTCCACCAGCGATCACTCCCAAAACCCTGAGAACCCAAAGTAAGTCCTGTAGCATTGCAGCTTGCTTTCCACTTCTGTCTGCACAGGGTCTGTGATGAAAGAAATTACCCTATATTTGCAGAGATAGCTTTACAGCTCTCTGTGCTAGTGCCAACTTTAAAGATTGCTGCAAGGAGAGGGAGACGCTAGTATAAAAGTTTATTGAAAGAAATCTTGATTTCCTGTTTGCGTTGTTAATGTGCTTTGTGTTGCCATGTGTCCTCAAATAACGTTGGCCTATTACATGCAACACATTAAATTGTAATTAAACTTTTCATTAACGATGATTTTGAACCACTGGGCCTAAGCCAGGCCCGGGCCTCAGCCTAGTTTTCCATGATTTGAGGGAACAGATGTTGTTCATTAAGCATCTGAGTGAATTACCAGCACAAATTTTTGCGGGCACCTGCAGAATCGGAGGAGGCCTCTGAAAATTGGGCCCAGTGACTCTATCACAATAGCATGTGTTTGGTTTGTAGAGCCAGCTCCCCTTCTCTCTTACACCAGAATAAACTAGGACAATGCCAGGGAAGTCAGTAAATTTTGTGAGAACCAAACTAGTCCAAAAGACTTCTTTTCAAACAGGTTTCTGGTTAAAAGTGTTGGCCAAGGCTGCACTCTTTTTCTTTCTAATCAGAAAATTTCAGGTTCCAATTAGTTCTTCAGCACTGTCTTGTGACAATATACTTCATAAGGAAACATAACTAGGTTTCTGTGATTTCATCTGGTACATTAAAAGTGGTTGAGAGAGAAGAATTTTCTCTTAATAGGTTAGGCAAGTTGCTTCTGCTTCAAATGAAATGCAGTTATACGATATAAGGTAAAAGTATAACAAAAGGCCCATTATTAAAGACTTTCCCAATTCCTTGATGTGTTTCTTGGATCTTCTGCTTTATACCGTGTTTAAAAGGGAGAGAGGTTTACATTTGAGGGCTGAGTTTCCTCTTACACTGAAAAAAAAACAAGAATAACTTTGCTGAAGTCTGAGGTAACCCAATCTAAAGCCTGTATGGAAAGAGAATTAGAGCATTTTTTCTCAAATGCTGAGAGGCTGGATTATAGAGGCATCTTGAGCCTCTGATTCAGTATGTAATTCAGATGAGAGAATTTGAAAAACATTTTCAGGACAAAAGTCACAAGATGTTGAATTATGAGAGGTATGTGAAGCGAATCCAAAAACTTGCAGAGCAAAAAAGCATTGTCACTGGTAGTGGGATAACTCCCCAGAAATTCTTCAGAAGTTTGAATTCTTCTCTAGCCTGTCAGTAGGAGTTAAAAATCAAAGTGACTTCTCAGATGAAAGCCAAAGCAGAAAGGAAACCCCTCTGAACATTTCAGCTGCGATAATGGATTCAATTTTCTGTTCTCCCAGGCATGCATTTTTCACATGGGTTTACATTCATGTTCTGAACATAGAAAATTTCTGGGCCTTTTGAAGTTAGGGGAATTTCAACTGGGATTCCAGTCTGACACATCTGTTTAGGTTTATCTGCTAAAATACTAAGAGACCTGTTAGCAGCGTTAGAGCACCAAACAAAACAGAATGATACTCCTTTAAAAATCATATGTGGTCAGCCCTGTTCCATACCCCCCCAGCAGCTTTCCTTGTCTCTCAATTGTTTTTGTTTGTTTATTTTAATTATTTCTAGGTTTTCCCTCACTGCAGGCTGATGGACTGGCAGCTGCTAACTTTCAGAGCACCCCACCCCCACCTCCACCCAAAAGCAAACCCTATGAGAATAGCAACCCAAGAAATTCTACGGAGGTAAGGAAATTGGAGCTGACACTTTTTTGGAAGCCTATTCTTGAGAAAGCAGCACCAGTGGACTTTTCCAAGCTGCTTTTAGGGTGGTGCTACTTGAAACTTGTCTAATCAGTTTACTGGTTCACTTTCTGAAACCACAAGAGAGCAAGAACTTTTCCGTTTAAAGGGAAGACAATCAAGCCTGTCCCCTTCTTCAGCTGAAAGGGATGCAGTTTCCTTCCTTAAGCAAAGTCTTCTGTATACAATAATGTATTTCCCTTTTTTATTGAAAACACAAACCAACCTGATGGCTTTAGTTAGCATGTTAAATATCACAGCATTCTTCATTACTTGAGAGTGAAAATTTCTAGTCTAAGATTTTTTTCATATGCAAATTAGGTTACTTGCAAATGTCCCCCCACCCCAAATGTGCTATGCTGGAAGAAGCAGTGTGTTGCTTTAGCTTGGCCCTGCAACATCTGTAAAGTTTAGGCACTTCAGTGGGGCTTTCTGGTGCTTTTAGCTAAAGCTGATTCAATCAGCTATTACATAAAAGCACCAAAAAAGCCCCACTCAAGTTACCTGATCTCTACAGATGTCGGGCGACCTGGATTGAAGTAACACACTGCATCTTCTGGGCATGTGTGGGGCTCAGCATGGGAAAGCCTTTTTTTTGGGGGGGGGGAAGAGGGGGAGTTAACGTCTGCAAAAAGCCTTTATGATTCTCATGCCTCATCTTTTTGTGTCCCTAACTCTAGGATACTTTGAATGTGTCTGATTTTTTTCAAAGGGTGAGAGCCTGTCATGTTCTGAGAACAGATGCCCCATTTGTAACGATTGTGGCCATGATCCAAGTCACCATCTCACTGGGGCATTATAGTCTTACTTCACATCTATGTTACTGTTAGATCTTGTATTGCAAAAGATCCCTAAATGATTTTCAAGTCTAACGTGCAAATATCCCAGCTATGGATAAGAGTCAGTTTGTCCACCACTGAAATGTTGCTTCTTTAAATCCTCACCCAGTCTGACTCGACTCAGCTTCTGAAATGGGGCTGTATTACCGTGCTAGGTAATGCGATGGCAAAAAATATACGAACTCCATGGATGCTCTGGGAGTTGTTGGTTCCAGAGGATTAATAAAGAGCTGCCTTCCCTTGAGTATTGTAAGAAAACTAATTACTAGCATGCTCTTGATCACTTCATTGTCATTGACCTTGGCCTGCAGCCAAATCGGACTGACTCAGAGGCCCATAAAGAAACATTGTAAAAGTATTTTCCAAAGAGCTTCAGCACACTATTATGTGAGAACCCCTCCCCTGTTAATTAGTCTTGAAATCCAGGCATTGGGGCTGAGCAAAGGGAGAACATATGCTGTCTTGCTCATCCAGCCTTCTTTTGAGTATGTTTGTTCAAAAATGCGCCCCTTGGCACACCACTTAAAGTAAAGCATAAAATCAGAAGAAACCACAAGTGCAGATTTGTGCAGAAATAAAGTCTTTAAAATCCCACCTGTTTGTGCAGCAAGGGGCGTGGCTTTCTCTACAGGCACATGTAGTTGGATTTTTTTTGGTTCTGTGCAGTATGTCAAGTCATTTGTACCATTCTGATTTATTGGCATTTTATATCTTCTTGATCCTCCCTGTACTTGAGTAAGTGCCTATGCAAGGTGAAGTTCAGTGGAAAATCAGGAAAATTTACCCATCATGACACATTGTAAGGCTCCAGTATTGTGCAAGTAGTATTGTTCCCATATTACAAATAGAAAAAGCCGTGGCAGAAAGGGAACTGACTTTTCCAAGGTCAGACAGCAGTCGGAAGCAGAACTGAAATTTATCTATCTGCAAACCCCTACTGTAAGAAGACCAAGCTTTATTTCCACTGTCTGGGAATGTGTATTTGCTTATTTGCCGCTCATTGCTTATATCTGGCACTGGAAAACACTGCATGCAGTAGATTTCAAGGCTTTAATCCTGAAATGAACAGCAGGGAATGCAGCCTCTTCTAGAGGTATGTCATCTGGCTCAGCAGCCGTCCTCAACTTTCTGGTTATGGGTTTTATCTTCTCAGGTTGCCCCACCACTGCCCAGCAGACGTGAAGTCAAACCTCCCCCTCCACCTCCGAAGGCAAGAAAATCCAGCGTCCTCTCTTCTGAGCAGGGACTGCAATGAGGATTAGCACTCTTCTGCATGCTCTTTAGCACCTTGATTGAAATGGCTGCTTTCTTTTTATTGACATGTGTTGGGTTTCTCCAGCTATAAAGATGGGCAATTTGGCTTTCCTTTCCTGTCCCTTCCCTGGAAGTTTTCCTGTAGGTAATTGCAAAATAAGCCGTTTGAACTAAGTATATTTTAAATTTCCAACCTTCCAATTTTACCTACACAATTGAGGCACTAACCTTTGGAGAATCTCCCAGTTTTAAAATGGAGGCTATGTGAGCAGGAGCTAAGAAACTGCTCAGGCTGGTTTTCTTGTTTTTTGCCACTAATATGAATTCAGCAGCGCCAGCATCTAGAGCTGCTCCACTGGTACAAAACATGACGTGCATCAGTGTGCACATCAAGGTAAGTCGCATCAGTGCAATACCTTCTGTATATTTTTGCTGCATGTGTACATTACAGCCTCACAATTGTGCAGCTACAATGGTGCAAAAACCGAAAATGTAGAAAAGCCTTAATTCATATGAAATGGATGGCAGCCTTCCCTATCTGCAAAATGCAGCCCATCAAGGCAGCAGGTGTCTGCATGGGATGCCATGACTCCATTCAAGTTGCTTCCTGGAGTTTTGATTGCATGCCGAGATCTAATGGAAGCATCAACTGAGCATCACCTGCCTGAACCAGGCATTGCTGTAGATCACTCCTGTGTTTTAAGAATGATGGGAGAATTGCCAGTCCTGCTCCAAAAATAGAGGTAGCTCACTCCCAATGGAGAGTACAGGTTCACCACTTCTCTTCATACTTTGGCTGTTGATTGTTCACTTAATACTGCAGTGCAGTTGAAGCTTGCCTTGAATGCTGCTGTCTACCAACCTGTACGCACACTGGGACTTTGTACACCATTTAGTTGATTTTAACAACTAAGTAGTGGTGTAAGTTTTCACTCCCATGACACAAATTACTTTAGGATCAGCTGAGGTGAAGTTGTTATAAGCATCTCATGAAGATGACTGGGGTGGGGGGCAGGGATTATGGGGGCAAGGCTGTACATTATGAATTTTGAAGTTAGCAGATGCAAAAGTGGGCTTGGAAGAATGTGAATTAAACTCTTGACCAAAAAGCTTCAAATCCAGGTGGTCACAAATACACTTCCCTTTACAGCACCCAATTATTGCAACACTCCGACCACTGTGCCTTTTTGTCCTGCAGTTTACATTGTGCTTTGTCTGCTAAACACCTGACCAAACTAAGTCATGGTTATTACTGGGATGGACATGAAAGACTTGGCAGTGTAATCTTATGCATTTTAATACCCTGGATTACTCCAACTTTGTGTTCTTTGCTGACTTGTGCAGTTAAAGGATGTTTTGTGGAATCTGCTCTAATTCCTCTCATAATTCATTCCACTTTGTTGTTTTTTAGTGTGCGTCAGCAGCATTCTTTACATTCCTCTGAAATAAAGAAAATAGGTTTTTTATAATGTAATTCATGCAAAAATAGATGTTCCAAATTAGTAGAATTATAGTTATTTCCTGTAGGTTGTACAGTGGCTGGCAGACTTATCAACGTGCAATAGAAGCATTGATCTCCTTATTCATGGATCAAATGGACTGTAGATTCACTTGGCTTCCACAGCTGGACTGTCCTGGTGACTGAAGTTTATGAATAAAACCCTGAGTCTGTTAAAGCCTATAGGACTTCAGCTATTTGACTTGACTGGTACCAGGATTTCACCCTTTTTTTGATTTAACACCAGTAGCATTGACAGATTGATTTGCACTTTGTGAGGTCTAAGCTAAAATAGCGACTTGTTTCTGAAGTTGTTTGGTGGTTTCTTGGGCTGAAACTCACCTAAGCAAAGGGCTAGCATAAAGCTTGTGGAGCACTTCAGTTGCGATGAATTTTAAGGTCAGTTTTGTCTTTCGAAATGCATGGTAGTCTTTCTGCTCCGTAGGATCCAGAGGAACAACAGATGGGAGTAGATTTTTTTTTGTTGTGCTGAGCTGCCTATTGTAGAATTGATGCTTAGGGACACTTTTTAAAATCTTCATAATTAAAAGCTTTCTTTGTACACCTTGAAGTCGGAGCTGCCAGTTTCTGCCGCGTTCACAGGCAGCTTAAAAGCCAACAGAGTTTTATTTTCTAATTTATAAGGAGGAGTCGTTCACTCTGTTCTTAGGCAGAATGCTTGCCACGTCACCCTGCCCAGTATCCTGTTTATAAACATTTCTGTTGTACTCCGTGAGTTCTTTCCACCGATGTACTCAAGGGAAGGAAAAAAAAACCCAGTCACTGAATAACTGTTGTTCCTCTTTCATTTCAGAATCTCAGAAAAAAATCTCAGAGAGGGGCCAGCTAAGGAGTTAGGATCTATATATTTATCCAGCGTTTAGGAGTATACGGATCCTTGATATAGGTTTGGGTGTTTATTCCTAATCCTTAATTGATCTCAGTTAAATTAAAACAGTTTGCACCAGATGAGGATCTGGCCTATAGATTTGTAATAGTCTGATCTCCATCTCAAGTCTGGCAATATATACTGTGTATTGTTGCACACAACGTGTAGTTTTCCCCTCTGAATCAGCCTCATAAAGTTGAGGTGTGTGTATTAAGCGGGGAAGCTGATCTCTCTGACTGGGATAGAAGCACCCTGCTTTGATTCCCAGTCCCCCGTGCAGCAGCTGGTGCATTACGGTTCAGGCAGCTGAAGGAGGGCCTTGTTACACCTTATGCTGTGAGCCACATAAAAGTTGATCAGTGTTAGTGCTACCTTTGGAGTTTGGAGCAGTCGCATCCTTAGTCTACAAACCTTCTCTGACTGTCCCTCAGCTGCCGAAGTGTGACTTGTCACTAGGGGCATCTATACTCATGTTCTGGTATGGTGGGAGGCGCTTTTAGTCCCGCTCACTGTGAGGCTGGGGGTGGGGGGCAGCGGGTCAGGAGTGAGGGGCACCATGTGGGGACTGGCCTTCAATGTTTACAAATGGGTCGTGGTCTGAACAAAGTTGAGAGCTGCCGCCCTTGATGCCTGGTGAGCAGGGGCAGGACTAGGAGCGCTAGCCGAGTTGCCACTTAAGGGCTTGTGAGCCGGGACAGGTTTCTGTCCCTGCTGTACAGGTGGGGGTGAGAGCTACCTGGGGACTTCAATCTGTGCAGCAAATCTGTGGGAAGTGGCATACCTTAATTGTTCAGGGGCTCTCAGTTATGCCCTGGCATAACTTTGAGCTGCATAACAAGTGCTTAAAATCACTTTAAGGGGTGTAGGTTGTAGCCCTGTTGGTCCAAGGACTAAGGTTAGGGTGTGTATCATATCACGGGACATATTGTTTGCGAGATAATACAGTTACTCCATTGACATGAATTGAGATGAAGCTGATTTGCACTGGGGAAGTGAGAGTAAGCTTGCAAAAAGGTGAATTAGTGAGACACTTTTGGGATGTGGAGTTTTTCTCTTCTGAGTAGTAATTAGGCTTGCTAACCCTAACTTTCATGATGGTACTGCAGTCTGATCCTGCAGCTTCTGGAAAGCTTTTCTGACCTTGAATAAAGCTTGTATTGTGATTTACACAGTGCCTGAGACAAGTGTTTCCTCCTGTCCTGATCTTTGCTTAAAACATGTTCATTTTGTTTTTAATACTTAGGGACTAAATGATAATTTTAAGAAGTGTCAAACTTGTTTCCTGTTTTAAAGTGTTCAGTTATTACCTCTGAACTAAATGGAATGAAGGACTCATTAAAAGCAGTTACGGTTAGAAGAATGACTGTGAAATTGGCATTTCAAAACCTTCTCAAAATGAATGGGAATATTTTTCATTCGCTTCCATGAATACTGGATCATACTAATAGACATTCTTATCTTCCTGCCAATTCCTACTGCTTCTTGTGGGACAGTATTTAATATGTTCACTGTCCAGTGCTCTATATTTTTCCCTTCTGTTATTTCAGCCATAGCTTCCATTTATACCTGCTCCATTATTTTTTCAAGTAGTAGAGTTAGTAGACTTCAAGAATGCACCGAATGGTTTTGTATATCTTCCTGAGAGACTGATCCCAGGATCACTGGGTGAGCTTTGGGTCAGACCCATAGTCATCACTTATCCAAAGGTGCATGTCGGTTATGACAACTTTTTAGTTGTGTTCCATACATTAATTTCACTCACCTCCCTTGATTTACGTTTGTCGTGCTATACAGTCAGCCTCTTTTTTTAGCATAGTTTGTAGATTGCCAGAGGTCACTTTAAAAACTTTTGGTTCTTCTGAGCCTTTCAGAGAACTGAATTGCACATTCCATCTGTCCGGGTTTGTGCATCTCTTTTGTCGCATGGTATTGGAGTGACTGCATCAAAATCCTGTCAGCCAAGTCTTGAGCTGACTTCCTATTTGTTGCTATGATTTTTCAGTGTTGTGGGGGAGCTGGATTTACTTGAAGAGTGTGGCACTCTTTATCTTACCTGTCACACGTGCTGCAGATTTTGCGAAGATCTGAATTGGGAACATCTCTAACTGTAAAGCTAGATCATCATTTGGTTAAAATTTAGCGGATCCACTGAAATCACTACTGAGGATAAGACGTATAATATTAAAAAACATTTACCATGGCGCTAATGCAGACTTTTTTGTACCATAATCACTCCTGCTCATGCTGCCCAAACTAGTGTCATTACTTCATTGAAAAACAGAAGCCGTTGGAACCTAAACAAAGCCCTTTTCACGAGAGCAGTGTTCTCGCAATTAATTTTTGTTCAGACTGGAACAATTTTATCTTCTCTAATAGGTTTTTTGGCTTCTGTTTGATTCCGGGTAAAAGCAAAAACTTGCAGAAGATGCTTCTGTGTTGTTTCTTGGATGGCTGTATAAACAGATTGTATTCATTAAAAGGTCATATCAGATTCACATCACAAAACAAGTTGGAGACATTTTAGAAGTCGCACTGTAGTCACATCACATATGCTGTAGCGCACAGAGTACTGTCTGACGGGCTGCTGCCTTCTCCAGGGAAATCTTTGAAAACCTTTCTGGACATCTTGACCACGTTTCACCCTTTCTCTCTGGTGCATCATGGTACTTGTCAGATCCACATTGTTTTTGGAAATCGACATTGCTTGACTGGAAAACCTCGGGGTTTTCTTTTCTTTTTAGCTTGGAAGCAGTCTCTTCCTGCTATTCCTAGTCCATATGCACATGCGCACCTACTGAAGGGCCTGATCCTGAAGTCCTGATTTAAGCAAAACTCAGTGCAGTGAACATTTTTGCCTGAGTGAGGGGTCCAGATCTAGTCCTGAGTGAGTAGTGTGATTGTGTCAGTGTGGGTTTATCTGTTTACCTGCCATGCTTACATGGAGCTGCTTTGCAAAACCCAGGAGTCTTTTGAGAACAAGATGGTTACAGTGTTAAGTTGCTTCTTGTTCTTGATAAAGTCAGTGGGAAATATTAACCTCTACTAAAATGTTGCAGTTTCTCTGCTCTGAGTAAATTAGAGGGCTCTACGGACATCAAGTATTACTATCTCTGATCAGTTTAGCTCAGGCCTAGTCTCCTTTCTCTGCCTTCCAGTTTATTTTGTAGAAGTGAGTTAAAGTTAGCATTGTGTTTCCCTGCCACGTGTCTGTAGAAGGAAAAAGGGGCCTGAATGAGAAGTTTGTATCACAATAGCTCTGAAAGTAGAAAGAAACTTTGAAGCTGCTGTTTAATTCTGCAATGGACCAAACTCAAAATTTTCCTCTGAATACACTCAGACTTGTATAAGATGTGAACCAGACTCTGATTTTTATAGCATGGGCCCATCTCTGTCTATAGCCTGACATTTTCTTCTTCCTCCTGTTGTTTTCCATTCTTGAACTTGTTACAGGAACAATTGGCATACAAGTGGTTAAAACTCCTGTTGATATCTGTAGATGATTGAGTGATTTAATTTCTCTCCTACCTGAGTGGTTCATCAATACTAACACCTGAGCTAGCAAGTGTTGATGCTACCTAAGTGGACTTGGGAGAGCCAGTTGGGTGTGTTAACTTTCTTGCATTTCCACAAATGACTCACTTTCAAGAAGCTCAACACTTCTTTTTTTCCCCCCCTCTTGTTTTGACTTGAGCTCTGGCTGATGTAAGTTTTGTGTTTGCTCCTTGGCCTTCCTTACAGTTTAGAAGCTCAACCAAGTTTCAGAGACAGTGGGCTTCCGTAGACATGTGGGGAGCCTGATCCAATGCACTGGAAATCCAGTGTTGGAGCGGACTCGGTTAATAGTCTGCTGGAGCCCGGAAATTGACGTGCGCCAGCAGCCTTCCATGCAACGTGTATCAGTGTCCCTGTGCTGAAAATATGGTGGCAGGGTGCTTTGAAATAAAACACATTTGAGTTTTAGTTCAAAGTGCCCCGCTGCCATTTTTTCAGCACAGGGATGTGACACATGGGCACTTTTTAATTAGCATAGCTCACTAACTAATGTGCCCGGTGCCACGTCCCAAATCACATGAAAAAATATGATTTGTGTTTGTTCCTTCTGCCTAGGAATTTGCACCATTGCCTGTTAAATTCCTTCGTTTATCTTGGTATGTTGCCTACACAGTTCAGGCTTTTTTTTTTTTTTTTCTTGCTGCCTTTGTCGTCTGGCAAGTTGGAGATCCTTGTAAGTGAGACTTCACCCCTATTGGAGAGAGACAGCTGTTGGATGTCTATAGAGTAGGTACTTCCCTTTTTCCAAGGAATTTTGATGAGTACTAAATATTACCTTTATCTTTCAGCCCTTCCTGTTAGGAAAATTGCCTTAAAGGTTTTATTATTTAACCATGCCTGCAATCTATATCCTCTTTCTCCAACCTGTGTTATCCTCTGTTGCTGTTGTCTTTATTTTGCTGCAAGCGTGCTCCAAAAATAAAGTTTTTAATTTTCATTAAAGATATATGACTGACTGCCATACAGAAGGGGACAGATCCTGAGCTGATTATAAATAGGTACACATTCATTAGAAACAAGGAAATAACATTTTCTAGTGCCTTAAGCGATTAGAGAGTCTAATTCTGTTTTCAAAGGTGATTTTTTTTTTTTTTTTTTTAAAGGTATTTAAGCTGCTAAACATACAGGGAAGTGTCTAGGGGGCCTGACTCACTGAAATCAATAAGAGGTGTCTAGGTGCTTTTGAAAATCCTACCAGTGGTCCAGCTCAGCTCAATACCACTGAGCTGATTTAGGACCCTAAGTTTTATTACCAGAAGTAACAAATACACTCCTGTTTTAACATTGGGAGTTAGGATCCTCAGTTATGTGGAGATTTTTGAAAATGTTAATTCGGTGTGTCTCAAATGATTGGATAAAAGTAAACAAACAAACAAACAAACCCCCCCCCCAAAAAACAATTCCCGTCCCCACGTGAATTGCATTTAATCTCTTAGTATCAGTAATGAAAGCAAATCAAATTTTCATTTGACCACAGTAATGGAAAAAATAAATTAAAAAAGTGAACCCCAAACTAACCTACGTACAAGTTAAAAAATGAATCCCACTTTATAGCCATGTTGTTTAAGCCTGGTATTGAGTTCTAAGTCACAAAACATTTTTTTTTCTCCGTTGAGGAACTTGGCTGATACTTGTTGCTTGGATGTTCTTTATTTAAAATACATAATGCTGAGATAAATTCCATTTAAAATATTACAAGTGAAGCTCTAATCCACACAGGAGAGAAATGGGCAGCCTTCCGTTCCAGTGGGTTACTAGATTAGGAAAAGAAGTTGACCCCAATGAGAGCTGTCCTGTGATCTGCAGTGGTAGAAAATGCAGCCGTGCCTGCAGACCAGTTGTCAAAATTATGAACTGAACAAACTTCACACATTTGTCAGCAGCATACCTTCCACAGATTTACAAGTCAGACTTGTATTGATGATGATATAAGATTCATTGCTGCAGATTTACTGTCATTATTTATTTTTATAATTGTAAATGGCATTATTAAAAAGTTGGATGTCTAATTTAACTATATATATTTTTGGTAGTGAAAACATTCCTGAACAATGCTGCTTCCCTTTTTCAATGCTTTGCATTCTATATTAAAAGCTGCTTTAAATTCACTGCATTTATTTTCAGACCAAATTATCCAGTGGACCAGGGAGAACCTCCCTCTGGAACTCTAGAGAAAAATTAAATCCTGTGTCATGGCTCTCATGACATTGAAGGGTGGAATTTTCAAAAATACACAAAGATGGTTTAATTCTGTGTCCATGAAAAATCCCACTGACTTCTAGTGTAATAAATAACCACCTCTGGAATTAAAGAACATATCCCACTAGGAACAATATGTGTGGTGGAGAACCCCATCACAAAAAGTAATGTCACGTGATGTTAAGGTGTGTGCTGTTGACCTAGCAATCTTCCATATCAGTCAATGGAAAGATTACCATTTAGGTAACTGGAATTAGATTGGGGCGAGGAGGTGTACATTTGTACTTCTAACTGCCCTTACAGGGATGCTGGCCATCTATCTGCAGTTTGTTACTTTCAAACAAAGCTGTATGTACTCAGCAGCTCTAAAAATATGTACTAGGTTGCAATAACTGATGCTATTGGTATTAAAGGTGTAATGCCATGACCTGGGGATATATCCCTCTTGAATTCAGGAGACTTACCAAGCCATTGCTCTATGGAGTACTATGGAGTAGAGCAATGGCTTGGTAAGTCTCCTGACTATATATATTCTTTGCAAGTATGACCGTTTTGATTCCTTTGTGATTCTTGACATGATGACTTTGCTTTAAAACCACTACAGGCTGCAAGATGTTTTGTTACTCCTTCATAGGCAAACCAGCAATAAAAGCAGCTTTTTAAACGGGCTCTGAAGAAAGAGTCGGCGCTAAGCTTTGGAAAAGGGATGTTGCATCCCCTCAAAGTGGGGGGAAAAAAAAAAGCATATGACTTACAAACACTGTAAAGCAAGGTGTATAAATGTCTGTGTTTTTAAAACATTGTATTAAATGTAAAATTTGTAAATATTTTTTTTTTTAAAAAATGTAGTTTTTATGGGTGAACAAGCAAACATATCTTCTGTGTGTGGACTATTAAAATGCAAAATGAAATTCCATGTTACTGAATAGCAGGTAGCCTTTTATTTGGTTTTTTGTTTTATTTTTATTACAGTAGCATCCAGAGCCCACGGCCAAGAGCAGGGCCCCATTTTGCTAGGTGTTGTGAAACAAAAGCCAAGGTGAAGCAGCTTGTCCAGGATTGCAATGCAGGTCAGTGACAGAGCAAGAAACAGAAGCCAGGTCTTGTGAGTGTCAATCCAGTCTCTCTTCATCGGCTTGTAGCACGATTCCTTTTGTGCAAAAGCCTAATAATTCTATGCTAAAGTATTTTCCAACATCAAAATGTGGCTTTTTTGTATTCAAACACATAGGCACGTCACGTAATCTAAGCAGAGGTTAGAACTCGGATTTAAAGCATTGATTTGAAATGTGACTTTAATGGACCCATTGTTCTGTTTGGCTTCATAGATTTAAGTCGTCTTACGTCCAGTTTCTCCTTCCATCAGATTTGCCTGTAACACACATTATGTGATTTTTTTTTTTTTTTTTAAGAGGAAAAATAACTGATGGTTGGAATTTCAATGCCAGGTTAAATAATAAAATATTCTACAGGGAGGTAGGAAAGAAGATTAAAAAACTGCATAAATCTGAACCAAGCTGATCTTTTTGCCACCTGCCTGGGTATCTGATACCATGGTATAATACAGCTTACGCTTTTATAATAGTGCCTTTCATCCCCAAGTGTATGGCCAACCTCACATCTGGTAAATAGCCCTCCACTGAAATGCTACAGTTTTTTGAACAGTGCATTGCAACAGCTATTTAGGAGAGGAAGTAAAGAACTTACTTGAAATATCTGTATGGAAAATGGCGCACATATTTAGCATTTCTTTTGGTTCCCACCATTGTAGTATGTGAACAATGTATTTTATTTATCCTCTCAACATCCTCTTCAGGTGATTGTTTTTTCCGTTTTACAGAGGCACTGAGGATCAGATTTGTCAGAATGTTTAAGTATGGCTAGATGCTGAAAGGAGCCTTGTTGATTTTCAGTGAGAGATCACTTTGCATCATTGGGGCCAAAATCATCTAAGATGAATGGAAAGTCTGTGGTGAAGCATGAAATTGAATCAGGCTGCCTGATTCTCATGCCAATGCCTCCTGCCCTTTCAGTCCACACTATGAATGTAGGACCCTTATGCTACAAGCAGACATTGCATTTGTTCTGGGGCGAAGTGCAGTCATTGAGATGTCCATGTCCATTTTCCCAGGACAAACCCTAAAAAAATGCATGAGATAGAAAGGAAGCACTAACAGTTTGTCCTGGGACACAGCAAAAGCATCTGAAGTGTTGTCCTGTGACTGCAACATTGAAACAATGGCAGGTTCACTATGCCCTGATTGGAAATGTGTGTAATCGCCCATCCCATGACTTTCCTGTTCCGGGACAAACACAGCCACACCTTGTCTTGGGACAAATCCAACTTGTGCTCCTAGCCTTTAGGATTAAATTCTGCTAAATGAAACGGGCAGTCTGGAGAAATGTTAAGGATGAATTTGAATAGCACGTACTCTACCATCTCACCCTGAAAAAGTCCTTTTGGGAAATAACTAAGCATAGTTCAAGTACTTTCATAGGGTAGGCAACAGCCTAAAAGAACATGTCTTTTGGATACCTCCCTTTCTATTTATTGGTGTTTGCACAGTATCCCTGTTGCAACTGGAGCAACTGGTAACCTGGAAAAATTGCACTGGGAAGCATTTAGTGTAGTTTTGATGTCAGTAGGCACTAAAAACTAGGAAGAACAGTCCTGTGACGTGGCCAGTGGTGGTTTATGAGCTAAAGAAAATGCAGCATATGTGGCAGAAACAGGAGACGAACCACAAGTTAATTAGAATGGCATCTGTTCTTCAGCCTCTACATTAAAAGGCTTCTTTCAGTTTCTTATGTAAAATTACTAGCATTGTAATCTAATTTCTGATGGCAAACCTGAAAATCCAGTTAGTAATAAGCCTTCAGGTGTGAGAGAGAAACAGTAGCCTCGTGAATGAGCAAGCGACACTCAAATGAGGTGCTCACTGTGTTTGGACAATTCCTAGGACTCTTTCAATGCCCCCAGTTAAGGTTCTTACAAGACAGAGCACTTCATACAAACATTTTATTTGGACAGCAGTAATGCCTAGGTGCCTCCAGCACAAACCAGAATCCCATTGTAGTAGGTGCCGTTTGAGCAAAGAATAAGGGTGGTCTCTGTCCCAAAAAGCTTACATTCTACATGCTTTGAATGTGCAAGTTCCCTGCAGAGCTGTAGACAGGGCTTGAGTTGCTTGCTCTGTGAATTCCTAAACACTGTAACTCCCCAGTGGTGTCTCCTTGCCTAGATTAGCTGTTTCTTCAGTGAATGGTAACAGCTAGAAGGGGTAAAAGGCAAGACCAACATTTTGAAGAAGGACAAGTGCCATGAATGTCTCAATTTTTAGGGGCACAACACAAGACTTTTTTTTTTTCCCCCCAGAGCTAAGCACCTGCATCATTTAGGGTGGCATTTGGCCATGTGAAAACTGAAGCACCCAAAAGCACTAATTCTGTTTTGATGCTGTCAATAGCAGTAAAGTGCATTACTGCCTTTTGGCTCCTGCATGCTGCTCTGATCACTCAAGTTCTGCCCTTACTCTGGAGAAGCTACTGGATTATGCACTTTAAAGGCTGGGGGACCCTGGGAGTAGCAGCATCCATATGGCCTGATTCTTTAGCTAGTAGAGTTATTCTCTGATGTTAAATAGCTGTGAATGCTGTCAAGGGTTGGAAGGAAAGTAACCATCATCTTACTTTGAATTTATCTCTGTAGGAGGAAGTCTTGGCACCAGTGGCACTGCCCAGAATGGTGGCATCCTCATCAATGGATGGGATTTCCCTAATGCTCTGGTAATTCAAAGGATTAATAAAACTCCCTCCAAAGTGATCCTTTAATAAATCAGTACTTGACTTACCAGAGCTTCCTTCAGATCACTGAGCTTGGAGGGCTGATGGGGGCCATTGCATTCAAACTGCTGCATTTCTCCAAATTTTTCCATGTCATTTGCCATCTAAATTGGGAAAGATGCGAGTCTCATAAAAAAACAAAAACAAAAAACTAAGGGATCGATGGTGTAACAGCACTGTAGTGCTAGCATTACAGTGTGGTTTTCAACTTCTGCAATTATTTTCATCTTTCTCACCCACTGCCTAGAGCCAGTGTCATCTGACTCTTGGTACAATAAATGAAAATGGCAATGTCAAAAATACCTTGATGCAAGTATTTAAGGAGGAAACTGCATGAGTCAAAAGTTTAGTAGGTGAAGCCTTTTGCTAACTCTTGATTTGAATCCCTCTTTCCAGTGAATGGTCACCATCAGATCTGTTACAGTATGACAGATGCCTGTTTGACCTAAGGTCAAGTCAATGAGTGCTGCTCAGTAGCAGCAGACTGGAAGCTAAGCTGTTGATCTAGCAGAGAGGTTTAGAACTGATGTAACCTGGAAGGTGCCACTGGCTCTGGTGTATCTCATCAGCAGACATAATATATTATACTCCAGGGCTCTCATCTGTCAGTAATGCTAAATTCCTTTTTTAAAATTAATTAAGAAGGCACATGGCATAATGCACAACAAATGCTGGGCTATTTAAAATCAGGAACCTACCTCTTGGAATGACTCAACAAGGTTTTCAGCATTCCTCTTTCCTCCTGGTTGCAAGCCATATGACCAGTGCTGAGCCAAGCAGATATCCACAGACAGGATAAGCAGAAGGAGACTTACAAAGACCTTCCTAGTCTTCTGCATTCTGTCACAGAGCAAAATATAAATGTAATCGTGACAGCATACAGGCTTGAATAACAATGGTGAATACTGTATTAAGCTGAAGCGTATAGTACACCAAGCCTTTTAAAATGCCCTGTGGCCTCTCTCCGTCAGGTACCTAGAAACACTGAACAAGCAAAGTGTAATGCATGTTTTGTTCAAGTACATTACCTGCCGGATGAATAATTCCACCTCTTCTTCTCTGGCAAATGTCCTGTGTATTGTGCTTGTCATCTTGCTTTTTATATACATGCATTTCTAATCCCCCTAATACCAAAGTTTTCCCAGCAGGTGACTTAATCAAATTCTCTCTCATGTGGACTGCAATTTTGTTCTTAAATCTGCTATACGTACCAGAAGTAAAGAACATAATTAGAACACCTCTGGTGAAACTGTTAAATTCAGCTGACAGTTTTCACTAAAAGAACTGAAGGTCTTAATTTTAAGAGGCTCTGAATCAAATCAAGCGAACTGCTTTTTCCTGGGGAAAAATCCTCATTTTTTTTTTTTCTTTCAATGCTCATAGTTTGTTTTTTTTTTGTAATACAAAAAATATTCGGGGTGAATTTGGATTTCATGGGAGGCTTACAGCACTCTGTATACTGCAGCTGAAAGGTATAAGGGAAGTCATCTACTTGATGTTTGACTGTCTCTGTATGTCACACTGCAAGGAAACAGGGCCCTTAGGGACCAAAACAAGAGGCCAGACTCACGCAAGTATTCTGTACATGTGAGTACACATTTGAAAATGTGGCTCACTGTTTTAAGTGCCTTGATATTCTTGGTTCTATAAAGTGTAAAGTATATTTAAATCAACCCAGTAGACTAACACACAAATATTCTGGGGTAAATAAGCACTGTGTGAGAACCTCATCCGGTGGCATCTTGGTCCCTAACTGCAGTTCTTAGATGCTGCTGAAGTATACATAACAGTGATATGTTATGCAATGTCCCTTGAATTAAAATGGCTTGTGGGCTACACATTAGCCACTTGCAGTGAGTTCAACTTAATAGACTTGGCTCCTGATGGCTCTCTGAGCATCCCTTTGACCCCAGAATCTCGAGTTTATGCTCAAGTGGTGAAATGTCTCTTCCTTATTTACATGTCCATTCACATACTCCTGTCGGATTAATGGAATAAAAAGTAATTTGATAAAGGTTAAAATATTTTGAGGATTTAGTTATTTTTGACATGCATTAAAGCAGGAAGAATTACTTTAATATCCCAGCAGGAAGGGTAGCACTTGACTCCTGCTGGCAGAATTAATCAAGCAGTGAAAATGGTTTAGTAAGAGAAATAATACCCAAAGGTAAATTAAGTCACATAGGAAAAGGAGGTGTGTATATAAGGTGCTCTAATTTCTGTATTGGAAAATGGTGCCTTTAAGGCCATTTTCTTCCCAGATCAGCAGCCTAAGTATGTTCAGGACCTTTTAAAGAAGATTAAGTGAAGATTTTGTTCATCCTGCTGGAAACGCTTAACAAGAGGAAAGGACCTGCTCAACAGGTAATTGGGCCCATCAATAAAGGGCTTTTGAATGTTGTATATGCAGATTCATGGACTAGTCCCATGGCTCAGCTATAGCTTACTTTTCAGCATCTCCTCATAGCCCTTCTGCTGATGATGGTCACCTTTGTGACTCAGAGATAAACCTAAACTGGGTATGATGAAAACCATAAAATAGCACGCACCAAATAAGATTTTGTTCAAATGTCCCTGTGCCTGCTTCCTGAGAGGAGCTGCAAGCATTGGAAAAGAGTGCAAAGAAACAGGGAGGTTAAGCAGAGGATATTCATACAGCTGTTTTTGTTTTAGGATATGCTTAGCAGAGCACCACACATATTTTACAGCCCTATGTAATGGAAACTCACTTACTGTGCTCAGCTTTTGGCAAAGGCAGAGTCCAAATGGAATGGTTTTGGAGAGATGCGGAGTTAAGATGTAGTTTTCTCCAACATTTGGGAGCATTTAGATCAGGTCCATCAGAGAAAAGGGGTCAGTTATATGCTATCACAAATCAGAGGCAGTCAGAGCTGAGGTTTTGAGCAGATACAGAAACTAACTTTCAGATCTTGGAAAGTGTATTTAAGAGCAGAATTTTTTCAGAACAGGTCACATCTAGGCACCCATGCAGAAGTGGCTAGATGTTGAACAGCAGGTTCTACTGAGAGCTACTGATAATTCTTGTCTTCCATTAGGTGGCAGCGGTTTCCCTACTGGAAGAGCGATTTCTCTTCCATTAGGCTTATTGGTATAGTAAGTCCAAGCCTACTGTAAACTGTTCCATGCTTGTAAAAAGCAAAAATACGCAGCAGTACTTGGCCACTGGAAGCACATTTTTTAGAAATGGCATTATTAGATATGAAAAATATAAAGCAAAGTTGGACAGAACACTGGCTAGGTATCTGCCAAAAGACGAAACTTGTTTATAGATAACCCATGCTGGTGATCTGAACTGTGGAAAGAGAACTTTAGGCTATGCAGCATATGCTTCTATGGAGTCCTCTTCTGCCCTTACTGGCACTAAGTTCAAGACTTCCTATTGAGCAAAGATGGAAAGGTATAAAAGCATTCAAAACCAACTATGTATGAGCAAGTTGGAGAGAAACTCAGACACTACCAAGGAGGTGGTAAGATTAAGTGCTGAAATTCTCTCAAACAACTGGATGAATGAGAGAGGGTGGTGGCACCTGACACAACCAGCGTATAATTTTTTCTGTGATAGACAATGCTGTAGAGGTTTAAGAACAAAAACGAACAAATGAAAAACAACCCTTCAAACCTTTAATGCTAGTCTGCTCCCCACGTGTGGATGCTTAACTGTTTCAAAGCAAAATACCTGCTCCTCCCCACTTTGAAAGGAAAAGGTAGATTCTTAAAGTGAAACTGCCCATGGAACAAGGGTCAGGGCATTCCCAGGCTTTGTATTTTTACATCCTTAATTTAAAAACAAAACAACAAGACTGATTGTTGCCATTTTACACATTTATTAATGCAGCTTATATTTGGTTGAAGCCTGCTGTTTCCAAATAAGCCACTTTGGGCTGTTCCTTCAGTCTTGTCACTCAGCTGTGAGTGAACAATGCCTTATGTTGTGATTATTCAAAAACATGCACCATGAAAGTTTAAATATAATTTATACACACTGATTATGAAAATAGATTTCTCCCATACAATATTCTACCTCTGCCTGCTACAAAATAAGACACAGAAAAATAATTCATTTAATTTAATTTGATTCTTATGGCTGCAGAAATGTTCTCATTCCAAGTCATGCTTACTGCTCCCCTGAGGAAGGCAATGACTTGAGAGAGGAAATGAACCTGTGACGATAACATAACTTTTACTACAGAGGTACAAATCCATTTCAAAGACACAGCGTTGCCCTAGAGCTGGCTGAAGTAGTTCTGGCAAGCTACAGACTTGCTTTTGATCCAACTCACTGGATGACTTTGAGCCCCAGGAAGTCATGTGTCATGCTCTAGTCAACCTAACTTGTAAACAAGGTTAAAATCTTTTAGCCTTCTCCCAAGAGGTCACGTACCCAGAGCCAATCTTTTCCACAACAATAAATGACAATGTGTTTCTGCTGTAACTGTTAAGACCGCATCACTTTCCCTGGAGAGAGGGTGGTAAATAAACTACACTCCCCTAACTAAAAAGGCAACACACCTACAAGACGGTAGAAATTAAGATTGCCACTACCCATTGTCATGTTTCGTTATGATACAGTTGCTTTTATCTCCCAGTAAGATTCACATTTCTTTTGATCTATACTGGTTTCAACTTTGGAGTATTTTAAGTTAGTAAACGTGAGGTAAGTGTTTTTGCTGCACCAAGCTTTATTTGGTATAGTTTCTTCATGTGTTTGTTTCAATGTGTACAAAGTCAACCTAGCTACATGAGCTTACCGATTTGATAGGACAGTGGAAACATCTTATCAAATGAAGCCAGCAGACTCCTTCTCTATGACTCTCTGCACTGCAGAAACTAGAGTTGTGCAAAGCTTTGGGTGCTGATTTAGATTTGGAAGAGATTCGGCCCAATTCAGTGGCCGAATCTCCAAATCCAAATTGAATCAGGAGACCAATTAAAAAGCCCCAAGTCACCAGCTGCTGCCAGGCAGGGGGCGATTCCCTGCTGCCCCCCATAATCCCTTGTTACATGGGGGGGGGGGGCTCTGCCACGAGCCCCCTGAACCCTGCCTGCTCTCCCAGCCTGCCCCAGCTCCTGGTTCGTAAAAAAAAAAAAAAAAAAAAAGAGCAAGGCACAGAGCTTACTGGCTGCTGCAGTGGCCTCCGGGCTTCTAGCAGAGCTCCCCCCTGCAGGGCAGTGGGTATTGCACCTCTGCTTGGCAGCAGCTGGTAAGTGGGGTTTTTTGGTTTCTTTTGGTTTTTGAGCTGAGAGGCAGGAGCCAGGCGGGGCAGCCGTTGACAGAGATGGGCCGATTTGGCTGCGGCCAAATCTCCGAATGCTAGCCGCTTTGTGCAGGCCTAGCAGAAACTCCATATATTCCTATGTAATCACAAGTGGGACTGGAAAGGGGTTTTGCACATTGTACCAGTTCAGAGCTGTTACCCAAGCTTCCGTCATACAAGAAAACTTGCATAATGTGTGTTCAGGTGCAAGAGTTGCCATTCCTTTTGTCTACTGGAGAAGTCAAGAAGCCATGCAGAAATGTAGTGCCTAATGCCTCTTTTGGTGAAAGGGATGGATTTTCTCTCTCCTAATTCCGCTCCCCACAGGCACTCAGATTCAATATAGGAAAGGATTATGTACCCAAGGGATTTATGCTTGTCAGCTTGAATAGTGTTATTTTACACTGAGAGGATTAAATAAATAGGTTGTATTGGAATATGCACACTTAATGCTCAATAATAGCAGCACTCCACTCTGAATTTCTTTTCCATTCTCTTCACTAGAAAAGGTTTCCACTGCCTATTTTTGTAGTTGATCAAGCAATTGTATACCCACAATCAAACTACTAAAAGGTAGTATGCTACCTATGACAACTTAAAGAAAAAAAAAAAGGCTGTGCACCCCACCCCCACTTTAAAAAAGTACCTGAAAAAATGTTCTGCGGGCTTTGTTCCCAACACATTCATCATTCAATATATTGTGCGTGGACAGAGGAACTAACTGCAGACACACTAACGCTAGTTGTAAACCTGACCTTTTTGCTACTATGCATGAATTTAGTATTTTATATACTCGTATGCAGCTACAGATTTAACAAATATAATTGCATATATTGTGCTTTTATAAATTAAAATCCTTAACATCTATTCTGAATTGAGGTGATGATAAAAAATGCTTTAAAAAAATCTGTCTCTAAAGCCAACCCATTTCCCCTGCTCTATTCAAAAAGGTAGCGATAGGGGTAGATGTTGCTGCTAATAAATAAAAAGTTCCTCCCAAAAAGAAGAAAAACAACATTCTCTGTAGGCACTACTGAATATAAGTTACATAATAAAATATTATTTCAAGACTAGTAAGGAGAGTGGGTGGAGAAAGAAAGTCTAAGTGTTTCACTTTTCTTTCTGGTCAGCCAGTTTCCTTCCCATCAGCTCTTCCTGGTCCTATCTGACACTCTGAGACATATGTAAAGGTGTCAGCATCTCTTCAAAGATAGCTCCTTTTACGTTAGATCCTCTCAAGTTAGCTTCTTGTAGATCACACCCTGAAAGATCACAATTCTAAAGAGTACAGAGAAATGTCACTTATTAGTTTAAATGTACACAGAAATCATTCCTTAAGTGCTTGAGCCAATATAAATAGTGCTGGCTACTTGTACAGAAAGAGAGAATGCTTAGTATACGGTCGGGCAATTAGTTTCGGCAGAGGGCTGCTTACTTAGTTTTGGCAAGCCATCGAGGGCCACATGACAGGCAGCCAGGGGCAGATTAATATTAATTTTCTAATTTTTTAGGGGCCCCACAGGCCAGATAGAATGGCCTGACAGGCTGCATCTGACCCGCAGGCCACATTTTGCCCACCCCTGGCTTAGTAAAAGCCAGAGTTGCTTGACCACTAAGGTATCAGCCTAAATTTAAGTTTTGTTGCCATTCCTGGTGAGATTTCCAAAGCACATCCAATTATTTTTATAAGGAGGAATCTGAAGTTGCAGTTTGCACTTCAAAACACATTAACATCCTCTAGGTGAGATGAAGTTCTATCTCAATCCTAGATAGAAGGCATAATACTGAGATTCCATCATTTATAATTTGAGGGGCATACAGGGGTAACGGGTGGGAACAAACAATACTGTTAGTTGCTAACAACAGACAGGTCCATAACTCTTTATTATGTTTTAGCCTACCAACTAACAGCAAAAGAGACTGTAAGTTTTGCCTTATTCTGTTTTCAGTGAAGTCAGCAGCAAAACTCCATCTAACTTCAAGTGATAAAGTGATTTCTTTGCATGTTCCGATCTTTCCAAGAGGCTACCCATTAGTAGGGCAATTTTTTTGCCTGCTGCCCAGGGAGCTTGAAAAATAAAGTGTCATGTCAGAACTAATGGGGCAGGAGTTAAGGATTTAGAATGTGAGAAACTGATGTTTTGGAACAATAAGAATATTGAAAAAACCAATACCTATTCGATGCAAGTGTTGTCTCCGATTTTAAAATGTACTTGCAGATGTTTCATTTCATTCTATAATTCCTTGGCTGAAAAGGAATTAATGCTGCTAATAACCCCTTTATTTATTGTATTTAAAATAAAGCACTACTCACCTCCAAGTCAGTTCCTGCCAGAGTTGCTCCTCGGAGGTTACAGTTTTTTAGCTTTGCATTTTTCAGCGTTGCTACTCTTAAATTAATTCCTGTCATCTGACTTCCTTCCATGTCCACACCTTTCAGGTTAGCACCTAAAATATACAAACAGTAAAGAAATGAAGAGACAGTTTTGGTTAATGTTCACATGGCCATTCCTCTGCATAAGTCTTTATTAGTCTTGGGTCCTTTGGGATGTGGCGAGAAATGCCTAACAAACCAACAGCAGAACTGATAACAGAACTCAGGAGCTCTGGACTTGTAGGTTAATTGTTTAGCCACAGCATCTCCTCACAGAGTATCTGTTACACAGAGGAAGGCTAAAACTGTCCTGAACTTAGATTTAATCATTTTTTGTACTTACAAAAAAGCCACAGAAGTCCTTGTCCTTTGTGACTAGTGCAAGGAGTAGAAAGCAGGGAAAATTACTGTTTCTGTTACCTTCCAGGTTAGCTTTAAGGCCCGAAGGATCTTCAAAATTGCATCCTTTTAGTGATGCTCCTTCTGCGTTGGAACAAAGCATCTTTACACCTTGAAGGTTTGCACACTGGCAAAAACAGATGTATATACTATCAGTAAGGCACCAATGCAAGTCACAAAAATACAAAAGACAAGCAGTAACAGTTTGTTTGTGTTAGATCATCACCGTGCCCTTCTGGCACAGAAGATGCTGCATCTCTGAGGACTAAAATTTTACCACCATTTTTTCACCAACCTCTGGAGATCACAAATATAGTGCACCACAGTTCTCTGAACAGCCACCCACCCAAGGCAAGCTTAAGTCCAAACACTTAAGCCAGTACTCCTATAGAAAATTGTGGGGAGTAATATAAATTGGGATGAACTTTAAATTTTGTAATTCCAAACCTAGCAAGATAATACAGGAAGGCCTAATATAAGCTAAGTAATGAAATCATACGTATGTCAGTGTCTTTAAAAAGGATTTTAAAAAATAATAATGAATAATCTGTACATTATAATTATTCCTCTTCCCAAGTAAGGAAGAGATCAGGCTTTTCAACAAAGCAACTCTTACATCGAGCACTGATCCAGAGAGGTCAGCTCGCTCCAGATTTGCGCAGCATAGGTTGGCATGTGCTAGGTTGCAGCGGCTTAAGTTGGCCATCTTGAAATTTATGTACCGAAGATCTAGACGGGAAAGATCTGCTCCACTGAAATTTAGACCCTGAAAAAAAAGTTAAGATGATAGCTGAAGAGTAGGTGTAGTCCAGGGTGAAAACACAAGACTCTGCTGAGAGATCCAGGGTTATGATTCCACTTCTAATACCCTCTTGTTCTGTGACCTTTGGCACAGAGCAGATTTCTGTCCTCATTTCTTTTTTTTGTTCATAAGAGGATGGTATAAAGGTATATTAGATGAGCATGCTTGATAAGCAACAATTCTAAGTCACTCTCTAGTCAGTAACTAGTATTGAAAGCTGTGCTGCCTTCCTGTATAGACACTTATCTTGTTCAAGTCTAGCACCTTTCTTTCCTCTGCAGTTGTATTATACTTAAGTCCAGGTCTTCAGAAATATATTTTCAAAAGCTGAATTTATGGGCTCAAAACTCTACAGGCAGCCAAATGTAACAAGTGTTTTCTACTGTTAAGGCATCCAAAGAGAAAAAAAACAACTTGAAATGCCAAACATCATGCACTGGCTTGTTTCGCATTTAGCTACAAAATATTTAAGTGAATGACTGCTCCTTGAAACTTCCAACCTAGAGCAATGCAAGACCGAGCAAAGGGACTTTCTCTTGCATGCTTGGTTTTGACATCATGTTGTTCTGCTATATCTTGAAATTGAGACCTTCTGTCTCTCATTTAAAAAAAAAAAAGTAAATGAAGGAGAAATAAAACCACACATGACTGATGTCACATGAGATTGCAGAGTATTTTGTTGTTAGATAGTTCAAAGCAAGGTTTGGATTTTAATACCTGACAGCGTAGCTCAGACTTGGTTGGGGTTGCCAGCAAAAACCGGACAAATTCCTTTCGTGATATAGGAGAATGGTCCTCTGCTGGCTGTGAATTCTGTTGAGAGTTTTATCAAAGATGAAAAATCAACATTGATGGAGCTAAAAATTAATATAGCTGAGAGAAACAGGACATTTGCAGTCCAATACAGAAGTTAGAATTACCTTAATAGCTACTTCTAGGTGTTCAATCAGTGAATCAATACCAAAAAACCTGGCTTCTTCCAAAACACCTAGCAAAAAAAGTTACATATTGTTTAGCAGTGTGCTCAACCTTACAGGGGAGCAAATTCCCTCCTTTACTTGAGGATAGGAGGGCTTAAGACATCTCAAAAAATGTGCCCAAGCACTTTGTTCAATCTGCCCCTCCCCTGTATGGGAGGAATATAAATTCTTAATGTTCTCATTTCACCTTTTAACTGTACATGTTAGGATCTCTCAGGAAGATGGGTAGATCAGTTGTTTGGTTTCATGCACTCCTTGTAAACTGTTTTTGATCCAAAACAACTATCAACCACATACAGTGTATTAGATGTAATTGGGGGGGGGTAAAGGAAAGGAGAGCTTACTCATGGCTAAAAAAGGAAAAGCACCCTGCAGTTTAGGAAAGGTGTGTTTCCAATACAAGCCATGTTCCTTTACACAAGAGACATCAAGGCTTGGTAAATGAAGGTTCAGGAATCAAATCCAGAATACAGTTGCACATGAGGGAGCATCTTTCCAACCCTTAATCTGAGTGGGTTGGAACATTTTAGTCTCATTAAATCAAATCTGTGGAACTGACTTAATCAATAACAAATGTACCACAGCTGAAGTATACAAACCCCCCAAATGTGTGCACACAGTTTCTACCAACTTGAGTGGACTTAACTGGGAACAGAGTTTAACTTAAAATTAATAAGTTATTGAAATATCATAGATAATGCATACCTAGTAAATTAATGCCATCATTTACAATGAGCTGTCCATGACGCAAATAGTTCAGAATTGGTTCAAAATACTCTGGACTGCGGTCAATTAGGAACGCTCCTCTGTGATCCTTCTTATTTCCCCAGGCATCTGTTGCCACAAAAATAATCTATCATTAAATTTGATACGTAAATAAAAATGCATGTTCAGATTACCACTACCATAAAGTAGCATCACACTGCCCAAATAGATTAGGTGGAGTTATACATCTATTTTAAAGGGACACAATTTGGAAAACCATACTTTAAGCTTACATTCTTCTTGTGGTATGGAACCAGTGTATTTTATGGTAATGCCAAGACCATAGTTAAGTTAAATGAGAATTCACAAAAGCAGTATTTGACTGCTTTAGAGCACCTGTTCCAGGAAAAAAAAAGATCTATCCTCTACTGGGTTAACACGCTGACGTTGTTACCTAATAAACAACTGCCAAACCTGAGCATGTTGTAACCAAAAAATAGTGTTCATAATTAACAACATTATGTACTACTTTTTCAAGATATCATGCAAATATTAGACATAAATGGCATAAAAAGGAAAGTGTGAAAGCAGAGCTTAGAAAGCTTTAACATTAATTTCTAAGCAATTGATGACCAGCTGAAATTTTATCTTAACAGTATCTCTGTTGTTTGCTTGAAAAGAGAGGCAGTGGTGGAAGGGAAGTGTATACTAACCTTTATCTCTAAACATATGGGCCAGCATACTTTCAGGTTCTTTATTAACTAAAGTGCTCCTACAGAATAAGAAGTAGGTCAGTTTAATCTGTACAAAAAAAAGTGACCTCAGAGGAACATCACAATCATTACGTACAAGACTTTTCTGTGTACTTACAGTACCACAAGTAGAAGATACATATACATAATATGGTAACTTACAGGAGCGCGCAGTAAGTATGTCTGGCATTATACTGTCAGGACATGGTGAGAGAATCGTGTAAGCGTCTTGCTAAGGCTCCAGAAGGCATTAGTTTGTACAATCACTATGGACTTATGCTGAAGGCTGCCCCCTGTCACCTAGCTCTGAATGGGTATCCAGTCGTTTAGGTGGGAAGTCAAAAGGTAACTGGATGTGATGCTAGTCAAGTCCCTTTCTTTAGTGCTGTCAGCTACTGAAACTAGCATGTCTTACCCACGCTAGTCCAGGAACCATTTGGCTTGGATGGACCCACCGCTGTGGGGGTTTTTTTTGGTTTGTTTTTTTTTTTTTTTAGTGCAAATTAGTTAAGAGTTTATTCCAAAGACCCTTTATAAAAGCAGAGCATGCATTTGATTAACTGAAATATTGTAGAGATTACTCCATGTATTTTCAGTTTTCTGTCCATTTCTAATAATCTCTGAAAACCACTTAAGAACTAAGCTGGTGCAAATAATGCTACAAAAAGGTGAACAGTAAAAAGTTCTGACCCTCCATAAAACAGATTTTTTTCCCATTGCTGGAAAAATTTAAAATCTGACGTTTCAGCAACTGAACTTAGTTACTGTTTATGTCAGAGTTACTATCTAAAGTCCTTTTAAAACAAAAGGGTAACTAGTTACATCCTCACCGTGTGGTTGTAAAATATCGCCCTCCGACATTTAACGTTAACCAATCTGTGTGTGCTCCTGTTAGTTCTTCATGAGGTTTTGCATCTGTCTGAGGATCTACATAGATGAAGTACAAAATAAGTGATTCTTAGTATAGCCATGTAATATTTCTGAACCCCTGTATTGTAAAGCGCTTCTTTAGAAAACTGCACACTGTAGATTTTTGGACTTACTTCAGATCTCCATTTTTTATAACGCAGACACTTACCAATAAATGGTCCCCCTTCACAAACAAACAAAACGTCATCATCCCTGGGGAGGGAAAGGACAAATTAAGCATGCATTTTGAATGCTAGTCACTCATTCAGGCTTAGCCTGAAACCTATTGCTTTCAGTTAATAGCAAATGATTATTATTTACTATGAAAAGAACGCTGATTCTATTTAGCTAACGGTGAGACTCCCAATTTACACCAGTGTGGGCAAGTTCAAGACTCATGTTCTCTGTTCTTAAATAGTTCATTTCAGGATGTTAGCTGTACTTCCTGTAAACCACAGGGTAGCTAAACTCTCTTTTATCAAGACTATATAGGCTGGTATTTACTGAACTAACTAATCCTCCATTGGCAACGCATGGCAAGGGTGTACATGAGGGGGCACGTGTGCCCTACAAATTTCTGTGCTGATGGCAGGGTGCAGGCACAGGATTGCAGCCTGGCTGAAGCCAGTGCCTGGTAGTGGCAGCGGCGTAGAGTTGTGTCCCCCCACTGGCAGCCCTTGTGTCAGCCACGCGATCCTCACTTAAGTATTAACCTATTGGCCAGGTATAAGAACACCAAGATAAAACCTTGCGTAGGCTCTGGGATCCCTTTGGAATCCACATTTCCTCTGAATAATTCAGAATTCAGATAGGATTTAAATGTCATAAAATGCACCTTATTCAGGTAGCTTAAATTTTTCTCAGTCAAGAAATTGATTACAAGAACACTTTTATTTAATCAAATTAAAGCATAGTGTGCTCTTCATACCAAGAGAACTAAGCGATCCAGGGCATGAAATAATTGCCAGAAAGGGTCAGAAAGGTATCAGTCATACAGTACTGTGCAATTTATCAAGTGCACTGGTAGGACAGGATTTGCTTTCTTCTAATGTGTCAGATACTGACAACTGTTGGAAACATAAATACAGTATACCCCATCTACGTGCTTATCAGGTAAGTGCGTCATTTACCTAACTGCATAACATGATGCCAGTCCCAATATTTATGCGTACCGATTATGCTTTAACAGTGGTTATCTGCATACTGGTTAAGTGCGCAGAGCTCTTCAACCCAACTGTCTACTTTGGGATGCAATTCAATTCTAACTGCAAAATTTGTGAATCTGATTGGGAATTATCATTTTCAAGACTTCTGAAATTGCCCTGAACTGAATAGGTTCTGTCAATTTCTATCAGACACACACAGCTTCCGGGAAATAAGGTAACCAGCTTGGGTTAACTGCATGTTCTGGGTAAAATCACAACCTTTGTTCAGAACCAAAGGTATGCATTTAGTTTGCTAAGGTGTAATATGATCCAGGAAAGATGTGCTCAATATCCTGATCAGAATCTACACAGACTGATCTTCGGAGGGTTTCTGTAGCACTTCCCTGGCATATTTAGACATATCTGTATTGTTTTCAGTCAAGTTAGCTTGTATTTGGAAAACATTACCTAATTAAAGCGATGTCATCAATGAGTCCGCCTTTTCCATTGTACACACTGGTTGCTTTAATTCCAAGTTTATTACTCGCCACAGACAGCAAGTCTGATAAAGTCCCATAAACAGCCACAACCTATAAACAGAAGGCATATTGTTTAGTATCAGTTTAGATACCAAGCATGGATAGGTCCTCTAGTCCCTTTCAGATCCAAAGGGCAAAAAGGCTATCTATGGGTCATCCCATATCGGTGTTCTGGAATAGTCGCACACACTTTATTAAGAAGCAATTTGAGCTTTAGAAAAAAACTGTTAAGATACCTTGAATTCAGGCTCTGTCCAACAGCTCCTAACAATGTTACAAAAATTTCTTAAAAAGGAAAGAAAAACCATGTAACCACCCAAAGAAAAAAATGCCTCCAAATGCCCAACTCTTTGTAGGTGGGAGCACAGTAAGTGTTAGGCCAGACAAAGCCAGCAGTGCATCTCACTTGTACCAAATGCCTGTGAGGACAACCAAACTGAAACCCTGGAGAGTCATTTTAAACAACCCTACCCAGAGTTTCTTCCTAAAATCCCAGCGAAAAGGGGATGCCCTATAAAGGCAAAGGCTTTGCATACCTTAAAGATGTGTTCCCAATTTAAATGAATTAGGGCTTGGGAATAGGAGACATAAATAAAGTGATAAGGATGACTGGAAGTCCTGCCTTGGGCTCTATGTTTTCCCTCAAAAGTAATTTCTGTACTTCTATTTGTTACATCTACAATATGGGAAGAATTACTTTCCTACCTCTCCAGAATGCATTGTTATTTACTCTTTGTGCAATGCTCTGATCATGTGAATGGTTATACTTGCCAAGATTTTTGGAAATCCAGGGTATAGTTACACAAATGCAATACTTATCGTTGCTCAAGTTCTTTTAATTTTGATTTGTTTTTTCTAAATTACTTTGCATATTCTGAAGCCAGCCATTGCAAAAAAAAACCAAGCAATTCTTGAGGTAGCCCTCACCAATAAGCACACCAACTGCATCCAGCATACATTTTATGATTTTGGCAGACATACTACATTTATAAAACCTTGAGGACACCACAATGATCCAATTTTCTCCCTATTTCAAGTATTTACACAGGTGGTGCTGTTGTAACAAATCCTAACAACAGCATCAAATAGTGGAAAAGGAATCAAGAACCTTAGAGGCATGTGATTACTACAACTATTATAGCTGAAGGGTTTTTTTTCATTGTCCACCCCACTCCCCAGCACGCTCTCCAAGGCAAGGAGCAATTCTATTGCAAGCAGAATAGCCTTAATTTCAAGCCGCTGAATTATCTACGGTTTAATCACCATACTGCCAAATCTTATTAGACACAGTGAGGGGAAAAAGGGACACAAAGCTGTCCAAAGTTTGGGAAGGTCTGTGATACATTTCATAGTCTCTAGACCCAGACCATAAAAAGCCAACCTAATAATAATATGATAGAGGGCAAGTACAGCATTTAAGGGTGAGGCTGTGAAGTAAATCATTAATGAAGTGTAAAGACACAGGATCACAGGACTTGAAAGTCCTGTGCCCAAGTCCAGTCCCCTACATTTACAAGCAACCATTTGTCTAAAAGGGTTCAGTGGAGAGGCAAAAAATTAATGACCTACATTAGACTTTTTCTTTCATATGTTAAAAATAAGGAGCTGTAAAGACTACTGCTGAAAGAATGAGTATTGGATGCATGGCGCTATATATAGAAGCCCTTCTTGTTGTAATATCCCCTTATCAGCCAGTTTATCCAAGGCTAGTAGGGTTCTATGGGAAAGCAAAACATTTCATTTACTTTTCCCACCGAACCAGGGCTGCTGTGAGCTGGAAGGTGAGTAAGGGTTTCCAGTGCATGACAAGCCAAAAATCAGCCCCAGTGTAAATGAGCTGTTGAAGCTGAATGACTTGCTTTACAGTAGGATTTGACTTGCTTCACTGACAACAGCAGTGAAAGAATGACTAGTCCTGGCAAACGTATTATGTAGCAACTGTTTTTCAGTGAAACGCTACTTATTTGCTTAGTTCCAGGCCTTTTTAAAAATCTTTTCTATTTCTGCAATTTAAAGACTAAAATGATGCTCATGTTCATTACAGAAATCAAGCAATACGGTTCCAAGGAGGACAGCAAAGAGGGATCACATTCAGTTAAGGTACCTATTGGTTAATATTGATGCAGTGACTAAGCCATTTTCCCCATGTTCAATTTTAGGCTTGTGTTCAGTATAGCCTTAGATGGCTATTTGGTGCAAAAATACCCACAAGCAGTCTGTAGACTTCAACTGACATGTATGCCACAGTTGCCTAGAATGACTAGGACCTGTATTTAGTGAGTGTGAAGGTGACTAACTTTACTGAAATGCAACTTGGGTAAGAAGTTTTTAGCACCATTTCTTGAAGTCTTTTCTCCCCCTCACCTGCATACATCCTCTCAAGTTAAAAGGTCAGCATTACGTACGCTGCTGACTTATGAGCTCTATCCTACTCCCACTACAGCCAGTGAAAGTTATAGACTTACAGGGAAGCGAAAATACACTGCAATAAAGGGCAGGACAGGATCTCCTCAAACCTTTTGTCAGTCTATGTGCACTTGATTTAAAGCTACTGAATCCTTCATCCAGACAACAAACAGACAGATGGGCATTACTGCAAGCTTCTCCAAGTCTGTCCTGCCCCTGCATTTTAAATATGTCCTTCTGATTAAATGAAAGTGTAGGTCAGTCTCAATCTATATGACAAAACCTGGGGAATACAGGGTTTAGAGTGGTGCCTGTTACACAAGAGATACCAGAAGAGCCAGAAATGCTAATATTTCCTTAGTGAGACGCATCCAACTTTCAGCAAGCAAGCCACTCTAGTAAGGAGGAAAAAGAGTAACATTTTTTTAAATGATTACATTAAAATATAAAGGTTTGCACTTCCTTTGTATTCACAAGATAACTGGAAGTGGCATGGAGGCAGAAACCAAGAAAAGCAAGGGTCTGGGTTTTCAGGGCAAAGACTGAAAGCGTCTCCCTGCTCTTCGCTGTGAGCGCATTTACACAGGAACAGGATCCAGACACAGATAGTTTGCTGGGTTTTTGTCATGAAGTTTAAGGGCTGGATGAGGGTCGCAACAGCTGTGCCCGGGGGGACATCTGACCACAGACGTGACAGATTAGGACCAGCCCTGCCCTCAGGCCGAGTAAAGGCCCCTTTTTCTCTTTTCAGGGCGCACCGAAGCTTCTGCCACGCAGCCCAGCAGTGTGTCCAGGACCCTGGCGCCCGCCACCTGCCTACCCGGCTCCTGGCAACCGTCCTGTTGTAACAGCCCCTGCCCGGGCCAGCTGCTCCGGACCGGCACGGCCCGCGGCTCTGTGCAGTGCTAGGAGCCCGTAGGCCGCGGGTATGGGTGTGCCCGCTCCACGCACTCCGCCACCAGGCGTCCCCCGCCCGACCCCGCTGCGCCCTCGAACTTCACCCCCGCCCCGCGCTCGCCCGCCGCGATTCGCAGCACGTCTATGCGCTCCGCCCCCACCTTCCCGTTCCTGGGGCTGCCATTGACGAACAGGGTCACCCTCCGCATGCTCCCGGCGCTGCAGCTGCTCCGCACCCGGAAATCGGGTTCTGTGACTGGCAGCGCCGGCAAGGCATCCAAGCCCTAGTTTCCCGGCCGCGTTGTCCAATGGGAACTAGGGAAGGGCGGGACCATTGTTGCTAGGACCAGGGTTTCGCGCCAGGGCGGGGGTGAGGTGTTGATATGGACCCATCAGAGCTGCTGGACGGGGAGCCGTTGGAGAACGTCCTTCAGTGCTGGCCAATCGGCACGAGAGAAAAGCTGGCTATTTACATAAATGCGGGACTCCAGCGAGACCTGGACCTTCTGATTGGGGGGAAGCTATCACGTGGGTGTTCCTTTAGTTTTCACACGCCCTCGTTTCAAAAACTCGCGCTTCCTCCACGCTGCCGGGACTCTCTGTGGGCAAAATAGTCCCGCGGCGCAGCTGTGAGCCCCGCTGTCCCAGGAGGGGCTGCCTGGCTTCGCCGTGTAGCTTCTCCGCCTCTAGGCCGCGGCCGTGGGCGGGCGCGGTGCGGTGGGGATGGGCGCGGCGCGGAAGGACACGCGGTGCTGAGGTGCTAAGACACTTTGAACGCGGGCGGCGGGAGCGGAGCTGCGTTTCCGGCGGTAGAGGGGGCGGCGCGCGGAGAGGGTGAGCGCGGGGTGCTGCGGAGGGGCCTGCTGCCCCGGAGCCGGGTGACCGCTTCCTTACGTGGGCCGCGGCCCCAGCCCGAGCCTCTGTCCTGGCGTTGCGGGAAGGGGGGCGGTGGGGTCGGGGCGATGGCGGAGCTGGATGGGCGCACCGCAGGCCCGGGGCCGCCGCTCTTGGCCCAGACGCGCACGCTTGTCACCGAACCCATCCGTGAGGCCGCCTCTGCCGCCGCATCCCACCTTCTCTCCTTGCCCACACGCCGGTTGCTTTCACGCTGAGTTTATCGCTTCCCGCCAGCAGCGAACGGCCGTGATGTGCGAGCGGGCGCGGGCTCGTTGCTTGGTGTTGGGCATAGGCAGCTCTTCTGATCCCTTCTGCAGCCAGGGGGCAGAAAGGCAATCGATGCATAGGCCATCATCCCTCGCGGGTTGGGAGTCGCACGCACAAACTCACTCGTCTAAGAAACAACTTGGGCTTTAAGGGAAACTATTATGTAAGATGCCATCAGCTCCTAAAATGCTATGAAAGTTTTTAGAAATAGACACAAAAAAAAGACCCTCTCTAATTACCCAAGGGGAAACATGCCTCCAGATACCCATATTTGGGAATTTTCTTTCAGGGGTCAGCTGTATTGGTCTGGGGCTACATGATACACAGGGGGGTTGCCCCCTCCTGCGCTCCACTTAGCTTGAAAAAGGATACTGTGTTACCCAAAAGCTTGCTAGTAACATCAGCCCACCTCCAAGGTGGTCCTATAAAAGATAACAGCTGGAACCAAAAGACTATCCCGATACTCACAGGCAGGCAAGGTTCCTTAGGTACATAGGATATTTTATCAGACCAATTTAAATACTGGATACACTTGTTGTAGGGCTGTTGGTTGTAGCCATGTTGGTCTAAGGACATAGGTAGGGTTCTTGGGGTAAATGTGATATCTCAGACCAGCTGGGGGAAAGTTCTTGGCAAGCTTTCTGGCACAAACCAGGCATTGGGAAACTGCTGCTGTTATTAGTGTTGCTAAGTCTCCCAAGAAAAAGAAGCAGGACTGCCTTTAACAACAAGCACTGGCAGGCAGCAGCGGTGCCAGCTTCTTCCCAGAGGGGGGTGGGGCTGGGGGCTGTGCTGTGCATGGAAGTAGAGCAGGTTCAGCTGCTGCTGCCTGTGCAGGGTGGGCAGTGGTGCTGGGAGGGGGGACTGCGGGGAATTTTGGGGTGGCTATAGTCCCCCCAGGTCCCTTCTTAGCACCACCCTTGGTAGGGTATGCAGGCAGCGGATTGTGGCTCTGGACCATGCTATCACTGCTTCAAGGAGCTGGGGCAGAGCTGTGATCCACTGCCTGCACACCCTTGCTTGGGGCATGTAGGCTGTAGATCGTGGCTCTGTCCCACTTCCAGACCACGGTGTCACTGCCACAAGATCCCAGCCCAGCTGCAGAGCAGCTCTGGGCCCTGCCCCCTGCCAGGGCTGTTGGGGCCAGTCTCCATGGAAACCCTGGCCCCACGTTATCTAAGTGTGGCTGTTGCTGGGGTCTGCATGGAAACTGGCCCCAGCCACACTGGCAGGAGCTACTGGGAAACACTGGCTGGATCCACCACTTTGTCCACCTCTGAACTATAACTAACAAAAATAAGTGACCTCCAAATAAAACATGCTCAAAAAATTAAAGTAAATTTAAAAAAAAAACCGAATTCTGATTATGATTGGCAACCGTGGCTGTTATATTTGTTCTCCAAGGTAGAAAAGAAGCTAAATGATAAGTCTGTGAAAATGCAAACAGGTGGAAGTTTGGAAGACAACAGGTAGAGCTAGGAGGGGGGAAGTGAGGGAAATGTGTGCAGGAAAGCAAGTGGTCAGCTAGAGGCAGGTTACCTGGGGTATCAGATGTCAGGCAGATACCCAGCTGTTTGTAGGTGAGAGCACAGGAAGTGTTATGCCAGACAAAGCCAGCTGTGCATCTTGTCTGTACTGTGGAAATTGCTGGTACCAAATGCCTGAGAGGAAAATTAAATACATAGGTAATTGGTCCAAGAAAAGCTATCACCATAAGAAATTGTCGCCTTTGGAAAGAATAATGGAACATCTGGAATTATACAGGTTGCAGTGAGAGTGCAGCAGCAGTGCTGCTGGTTGAGAATAAGTAGATCTTGAGTTGCTGGGAGCCTTCTGTAAAAGCAAGCCACTAATTCTGGTGGCAAAATGTATACATGAGTCAGTTCTTAGTGTCTACTTGCTGAAAATGTTGTTTCCGATTATGTTTCAGTTTTTAATGGAATGTGAAAGTTACATGTCCTATATCAAAATAAATGTGTATTTTATTAAGCGGAGATCATTGCATTAAATTAGGCTTCAGCACTCCACTGTGATATGCATTTAGTTTTATATAATTTATTTTTAACCAAGGAAACTAAGTGCAAAATATGTTGGTCATGGTCTTAAAATCGCAAAAGTAAGGTCCCAGAGTAATGGCATTCCCATCACAGAGCTGTGATTGCTCTAGTAAAATGTTAAAATTACTGTCATGTGACATTTATGCAAATTACATTGTACAGAGTACAAGGGGTAAGATTTAAGATTGGTTTGAAAGAATATAGCCTGTAATAATCCTGACTTACGACTTGGAAATTTCTGCCATCATGTCGTATGGGTGTGGATTCTTTTGTTATAGTGATGCACAAATTTTGTAGTACTACATGCATATAATATAGTTAATGCTGCATTTTCTTCCCCCCAACAGGAAGGCCAGCCACGTTTTTTAATAAAATCTTGCAACATCTGCCTGTAGTAGCAATTTGAGAATCAGCCTCTCGTTCTATCACAAAAAACACTGCTGTTACCAGTGGTTCCTTTCTTACTGATAAGGAGCCACGACTGTAAGAAGACAAGGCTGATTCTATTTTTCTGGACGCTTGGAACACAGCACTGACAATGCATAGATCATTTAGCCAAATGTTAAATGCTGTCTGGGAAGACAAAGAAAATATAAGCAAACTTAATGAAGAAGATGGAGTGGCCTGTTCCATGGCAGTTCCAAATCAAGAGAAAATTGGTACAGTGGATGAATCAGGAGCCACAAACCTTTCTGAAATGCAAAACTTAAGCACCAAGAGTCAGAAGAAGTTTGTGCAGAAAGCCAGTATTATAAGTGACAATATGATAAGTGACAAATATGTGCTGAGAGAATTGGACCAGAAGAGCAAAAATAATAGCAATCAACTTATTGGAAATCTTTCTGATTCACTGAAAGGAAACCAGTCTGTTGAACCCACCATGCCCTGCATGACACTGAGCAAATGGGATAGTCCTTCAAAAAGTAGACCTACCTCTGTGGGTAATGCAAACTATCTGACACTTAACGAAGTAAATACTATTTCTGGTCCATCAGAAAAACGAACACAAAAACCTGTTGATTTTGCGACTGTAACAGTAGCTGACTTCAACATTACTCCTGAGTCTTTTACTAAACAATCTACAGGTAAGGGTTAAGGTAGGAAAAAAATTCAAATTTCAAAATATTGTGCTTCATATGCAAGTGACAACACATCTGGTGTGTTGCATAATTTACACTCCTTAAATATTTAATAGTAGACATGTTTTGCTCCCCAGCAGATTTCAGGGCGTTTGGGATAACTCTGTAGTGAAATGCTCTTAAGGTAGATAGGAATCCAGGAAGTAAAAATTTAAAATAGAAATCTGATTTGAAATCTGAGGTTCATAATCCATGATTAAATCTGTGTGGTTTAAAAACAGTTACGAAAATCGAAGATTGCTGATTCAGTTGGGAGTACAGTTAAAATTGGCAACAGAATTGGCTTCCAAAAGGCCCAAGAAATGAAACATTTGAAAGGTGACTTAAGGAAATGATATGCTTGTTCCTTTTAAAGGAACCCATTTAGTGTTCGTGAAATGGAAAGGGTAATCTAATTGACAGATGTCAGATGTCACCCATAATGCAAATATCCTGACTAAAACACAAAAAGTTTTTCTGCCTGTTGTGCACTGTCTTTTTCTGATATGTAGATGTCAAAGAGAAATGGCCAGAAACTGTCTAAAGTTCATATATTGGCATATAGAGGATTACCTATTAAATTTAGGATTTTTTGTGTGGCACGAAGGGACTCTTGAATTCCTATTCTTGTGCTCTAACGTTTGCTGAACGCTGCTTTGGGATGAGCTGGTGAAAAGTAGAGTTGGAGATCACTTTCTTCCAAATGCTTGGGGATTAAAGAGATGGGGGAAGAAGACTTTGGTGGGGGGAGGGGGGCAAGGTGAGAGAGACCTAAATGGGTATTTACTACAGGGCACCGGACCAAGGGGAGGAGCTTGATCTGGAGTTCTCAAGAACTGACAGAGGCCGCATGTGCAAGGGACTTGGTTGTCGTGGGCAACTTCAATTACCCGAACATTGATTGGGAGGAACACTTGGCTAGGTCGGATCAGTCGTGTAGCTTCTTAGCTGTAATCGAGGAGATTTTTCTGACCCAGGAAGTGCAAGGATCGACCAGAGGTGCAGCTCTCCTAGACTTGGTCTTGGCCAAAGGAGATGATCTGGTGTGTAGCTTGAACGTTGAGGGTAGCCTGGGCAACACTGACCTTGAGCTCATGAGGTTGACTGTCTGCCGTAAGGTTGACAAATCAACTAGCAGGACTGAAGTCCTGTACTTCAAAAATGCTGACTTCAACAGGCTCAGGGCATTAGTAGGGGAGGCGATGCGGGACTAGGTTACAGAAGGCAAATGGGTTGCATGAAGAATGGTCGTTCTTCAAGGACACAATCCTTGAAGCACAAAAGAACACCGTTCCCATGAAGTGGAAAGCTAGCAGAAGGGCTGGCAAGCCCTCCTGGCTTAATAGGGACATCGCAGTCTTCTTGAAAAAGCAGAAAAAGAGATGTAGACTCAGTGGAAGCTGGGATGGTCCTCAAGGAGGACTATACAACAGTGGTCTGCACTTGTAAGGAAATTAATAGGAAAGCTAAGGTGGCAACTGAGTTTAAGTTAGCCAAGGGAGTCAAGGACAATAGTAAGTCCTTCTTTAGGTATGTAGGGAGCAGATGGAAAACGAATAGAAGCGTGGGGCCCCTGCTTAACACCTTAGGACAGCTGGTAATGGACACTCAGGAAAAAACTGAACTCCTGAATTCCCACTTTGCTGGACCAAGGGGAAAAACAAGCCAAGATAAGGGTCACAGGGGGCATGGTGGGAATGATAGTCTTCCCATTGTGGATGCTGAGCTGGTGTGTAACCAACTAGAAAAGCTAGAAAACCAACTAGAAAAGTCAGCGGGATCACATGGACTTCAGCCAAGAGTACTGATGGAGCTGGCTCATGTCATCGCGGAGCCCCTGGCAAAACACTTTAAAAAATCGTGGCACACAGGGGAGGTCCCTGAGGATTGGAAGAGGGCCAACATTGTGCCCATCTTCAAAAAGGGGAAGAGGGAGGACCCAGGCAACTATAGGCCAATCAGCCTAACCTCCATCCCAGGGAAAATCCTGGAAAAACTCATTAAAGAATCTATGTGCAATACACTCACTGAGGGTAGGATTCTGAATGACAGCCAGCATGGCTTCGTTACAGATAGGTCTTGTCTTATCAATCTCATCTACGAACAGGTCTCTCACCACCTGGACACGGGAGAGACGGTTGACATTATATACCTAGACTTTCAAAAGGCTTTTGGTCTAGCATCCCACAATATTCTTGTGGAAAAATTGGAAAATTGTGGACTTAACAGTTTAGTGGGTGGAAAACTGGCTGCATGGTAGGGCCCAGAGAGGTCTCTTAAACAGATCTGCGTCGTCCTGGCACAAAGTGGCCAGCGGTGTCCTTCTGGGGTCTGTGCTTGGACCGGTGCTTTTCAACATCTTTATCAATTATTTGGATGTGGGGGTAAAAAGCTCACTGGTCAAATTTGTGAATGACACCAAGTTATGAGGGAGTGTGGTCATGCCAGAAGATAGGTTGCAAGTACAGGTGGACCTGGACAGGCTGGAGAGCTGGGTGGACTGGAACCAGATGAAGTTCAACACTCTGAAGTGTAAGGTGATCCATTTGGGGGAATAAAATTCCCAACATACATACAGGCTCAGTGGTGACAATTTGACTTGCACCATAACCAAAAGGGACCTGGGGGAAGTGATCGACCATTGCATGAACATGAGCCGGCAGTGCGATGCTGTGGCCAGCAGGGCAAGCAACACACTGGCATGCATTAACGGTTGCATCTCATGTAAAACTAAGGAAGTGATACTCCTGCTGTACACAGCACTGGTGAGACTGCAGCTGAAGTACTGCATCCACTTTTGGGCACCGTACTTCAACAAAAACGTGGAAAAACTTGAGACGATCCAGAGAAGAGCTACTTGTATGATCGGGGACTTGCAAGACAAGCTATACGTGGAGAGGCTGAGGGACTTGGGCCTCTTCAGCCTACGGAAGAGAAGGCTGAGAGGGGGCTTGGTAACAGCTTACTGCTACATCAGGGTTGCACATCAAGAACCTGGTGAACACCTGTTCACCAGGGCACTCCTGGGGAAAACCAAGAGCAATGGATAGAAACTCGTGGAAGGCTGCTTCAGGCTTAATACCAGGAAAAACTCTTTCACAGTCAGGGTGTCCAGACTGTGGAATAAACTCCTTCCACAGTCACCTACCCTGGAAATCTTCAAAAGGAGACTAGACACTCACTTCACTGGGGTCACTAGAACTCAGTTGTCTTTTCCTGCCTAGTGCAGGGGGACTGGACCAGATGATCTACAAGGTCCCCTCTAGCCCCGAACAATCTATGAATATATGAATCTAAGACACCCTGGCACGGTCCCCTTTGTGTCCCATCTGCTCCCCAGAGTTTTGAGAGCATCTAGTGGAATTTCTTTTTGACACTGAAATGCTCAGAGTAAGCTTTGATTTTGTCTTGGTTTTTAAATCCTTTGGAGGAGTGGAGGGAGAAGTAAGTTCATGCTACTCTGGATCAGGACTTCTAAAGACTACCCAGTGCTTCAGTTTGAGTTGTTTGTTTTAATTTTTCTAAAGGCCTTGGTTTCCCCTCATTTTCGCCATGGTGGCATTGTTGCATTGTTTCTATAAAGACAGGAAGCTTTTCATATTTTGAAAATGCACAGCCTTTACTCTCTAGCACAGAACTCTTACAGAGTTTGTCTTGTCTTCAAGAGTTCAAGGACAGTTTCTGTGAATTAGGCAATTAACTGCTGAGATATCAAATGTTTAAAGAAAATGCTTCAAATACTGCACCTGGGTAGCACTTCAAATGGGACTCATTGTTTTGAGAAACTACTTCCTAGTTTTTTTTTAAGGCTTCCCAGGTGTTCTGACCCCTGATATTTCATTGCAATATTTGCATTGCATTTTGTTCATTTCAGGGCAAGCCAAGTCTTCGTTAAAATTCAGGCGTCGGTCTACCATTGGAGTACGGGGTTCCCCTGAAAATAATACCCTTATTCGATACCTTGCTGAGCAAAAGAGAAACAGACAAGAAGATCATCTTAAGCAGGTGACAGTCTTTTGCAGAACTCTTATGGGGTGGTGGGGGAAAGCAGAGGATCTGATGCAACTTAGGTGATTGATGATGACCAGCTCATTTTCATAGTTGAAAGCTTTTCAGTTACTATGCAGTGTCAAGCACTACAATAAAGTTTTTCACCCTTGCAAACTTACTGTAAAAAAGTATGAAGGGAAAGCAGCCTTTAAAAATTGTTAACCTTCTCTCCTTTTTCTCCATGTTGTATAACATTCCTTCTCCTCTTCAGCCAGTGTTATCGAGGTATTTCCTGTATAGCAGGTCTTTTAAATCTTAAAATGCTTGGATTTTCTTAAGTATAGCTTTAACAATGACTTTCCTGGGCTTGTAATTTGCTTTTCAGGTAATCTAAAAGTATTAAGAGAGTTCAGATTACAAAAAGGACTGACACAGGCAAATTTTGTTACAGAGCTCAGTTTTAACTCCTGAACTAAGAGATGATGCATCTCAGGAAAATTATTCCATCTTTAACATCTTGTCTTCCCAAATTTTACAGCCTTTTTCCTTGTACAGTAAAAACATCAAATTCCTATTTGAATATGAAACAAAACTCAAATTTAACCAAGAAGTTAGGAACAATGTTTACATAATTATGTGTGTAGCTTTGTTAAAGTCCTATGGTAACACTTCAAGTCATAGTTGACTTGTTTTTCCATGGGTTTACTTGCATGCTTTTATATCACAGTGGCCATGTGCGTCATAAAGTTATGGTCATATCTTTACTGCATATATCAGAGCTCATGTACACATTTAAAAAAATTAAAAACCTGGATCCGGTGTTTGCTTCACTGTACTAGTCCATCTGCTATGCTGTCAACATCAGTCTAAGTGTTCATGTGCTTATTTTCCTCTTCTGAGGTATAACTGGATGCTGATTTCTTACAGGAAGATAAATGTGACTGCTTTAGAGGGTTTTCCTTAAATATCAGTACTGTATGAAGTAATGTGAAATACAGATAGATACTGTTGCTTGTGTGATACAGTTTGCATAAATATGTGGGGAGGTGCTAACCCTTTGGAACTGCAGATTGTAGAAAAATGATTTCAGATAGCATTGCATTTTATAGCAGTTGTATATTACGTGTGGTGAATCTCATTTTTATATTGTCTCTTGGTAAACTTGGACTAGTAACCAAATGAAACAAGCCACTTTAAAATGTGCTTGTTTGCTTTTTAATTTTTCTCTTGTGTTAATGAACAAATTCTGAAGATGAAGTGAGTAAGCTTTATATTTAAACAGCATAAAAAGATGCTTTTTAATATGTTTTAGCAGGGCAGCCCTTTTGACCATCAGCATGTTGGCTCTTTAAAGGATAGAATGCATACTTTCCAATCAGCTTTTCAATCAGTGCAAGAAGATGAAGGGAAAGATTGCTTATCTGGGCTCTTGCAGGAGGAGAGAGAGTCCCAGGCAGTGTACTACTGTAAGTAAGATAAATCTGTAACTAGAAATGTGATCATTGTTATTCATAGATGCTAGAGTCAGAAGGGACAACTTATGAAACCCTAATAGTTAATCTAGTATGGATGTGCCTGTCCATAGTAAGTGTCAATATTGTGGTGTCTAACTTCTTTCACTTCTTGGTAAACCCTGAGTTGTGACATTGCAAAGAATCCTGAAGATAAGTGAATGCTCCAGTGTGTTTATCTTTTGTTTCAGTAACTAGCCTAATAGCCTTACCTTGTAAAGTTTTCTATGTATAGTTTACTCTGCTTGTATAGCTACCAAATAATTGCATCTACCCCAATTCATTGCTTGTTGTTTCAGTTGTAACAACCTGATTTAGTGCATAGCATCTTTGTAATGCAATTGTACCTTGGTTAATGGTGAAGGGGAAGCAGATCTGAAATGGCTTCTATTAGAAGGCTTGAGAAGTGATGAGAGGCAGCAGCTGTGAAGCTGAAGGGCTCCTGTATTTTTCACCAGTTTTCATAGCAGTCCTGAAAATAATGGGAGGTAGTTAGTTCAAGGTTGTTAATACTATAGCCCACACATAGCTGTATATGGAAAGAGCATTATTTACCTGAAGTACAGAAAAAGAGCATTATTTACCTGAAGTACAGATACGCGCAGTTTGGTAACTGCATAGCCTTCTTCAGTCCCAAAGCTAAGCACTTAAATAATGTGATACTGAGGATGGTTTATGCTCGGTACTACTCGGAATGTATGCCAGGCTGTTGGGTTTCTTGTTTGTAATTCTTCATTGAATATGTTTGCTTTTATTGTTTGCCTCTTTAATAATGAATTAATAGATTATGAGACTGTAATTTTTAAAGTTTCACATTATGCAGTGAAGGGGAATGGATGATGACCTACATGGAAAATCACAATTAAAAATAATTATTTATTAATGCAGCTCAGAATAAATCGCCTTTTCTGAAACGGAATGAATGGGCTCAATTGAATGGAGAGTTAACATCTGAGTGCAAGAAAATTGCTTACGAGGAAAGTTTAAAACAAGATTTACGTAATGGTGATAAAACTTTTCCTGGTATCCAGAGATGCAGTATTGTCTCTCCACCCCGAGAAGCATCTACGGTACGTTTGCCTGCATGGCTGTATCTTTAAGAGTGCGGAAATAGTGAATACAGGCAGGGAATACGTATCCCCGCCATTCGCAAGGGATATGTTCTCATGATCCCCACGAATGGTGAAATCCGTGAATAGCGGCAAATAAGGCCTGTGGGGGGGGGGGTACAGCTCCAGCGGGAGACCGGCGGCAGCAAGCACGGAGCTCCCAAAGAGCTCCTGCAAGTGTATAAAGTGCATTTCAAATGTGAGTTCGGCATTCGCGAATATTTGAAACCGCGAATGCCGAACCCGCGAATAGCGAGGGTTTCATGTACATCTTTTCAGGTGTCCCATCTTTGTGTGTTTAGTACTGGAACCTTAAGGAAAAGGTGCAAGCAACTTGTACCAAAATAACCAGCCCTATGAAGTTTGGCAAGAAACTTACACTAAGTGGGTGTTTCATTTCCCTAATTATGAAAGTTTATTTCCTCTATTTTTTAATCACATCTAGCATACAACTCTTACTTATCTGTATAATTGTTTAATCCTCTATAATTAGAGGTTATGAATTCATAAGGAGTGGTGAGAGAAATAAGAAAGTTTAGAATTCTAATAGAAGGAATATAATCTGACTTCTTAATGTGTTGTATGCTTAAAGAGAAAAAATATATACAGTGGTTGCCCTAAAAAGTTGCGTTTTGCCAGCAGTTACAACACTGTAGTGTCTTTAGTCTTTTCTTTCGTAGAATAAAAGTAGCATATTTGGTCTTGTTCTAATAATCCGAAAAATGAATTGAAAAGCCATTACGTATTGTTCCTCTTCTTTTGTTTCTTCCTGATAGTGAAGTAGGCCTCCAGTGTGTCTCCTTTAAAATTCCTGCTTGTCTGCCTTGTTTTTGATTTGAGGATTAAGACCTGAGTATTTGAGGCGTACAAGGATGTTTACTCAAACAATTTAAAACTTGACTTTTTTGGTTTGATTACCATTTAACTTCAGGTATTGGAAAGCACTTGGAAGAAAGTTTTGTAAAAGATTTAATTTTTTCTCTTCACGTCAGGATCGAGTGCACTCCTGCTCTCTAAAATAGTACATATTAATAGTTTTACTGTGTTATTGTGCCATATATTTGTGTGTGTGAAAAGTACATACATTTCATTTCTAGGAAACTGCTTATGCACTACTAAATATTACTGAATCTGCATATTTATCATTGAAAGCTATTCCATCCAGAAACATCTTAAAGACAGTGCAAGGTAAAGGATTCATCATTACTGTTGCCAATTCTTTATTAGAAGGCTTAAAACTGAGGTTTTCTTACAGATACTGCATTTGCTTTTCGCAAACAATGATACATTAACTTGAAGATGTGCTAATGATCTAAAAATCTTAGATTATAACAAGTAGTATAACATATCACAATTTTATATTGTAAATTATAATGTAAATTTCAAAACTCCTTAATTTATAACACATTGTTATTTTCCTTCACTGATGATTTGAACTCTTGGAGTTACCTTAATGAGTTAATTCAAGTGTACTCACCTAGTGCACTCCTGGGATGTTGAGTTAAGTAAACTCTGTTTTGAAATGTGTTGAATGTACTATTGTATAAGACTTCAAACCAGGATGTTAGGCTTTAAGAAAAATTAAATTAGTATTTAGAAACTCTTACAGTTTATATGGAATACTGAACTTCAATAACTGTGTGAATTTTTTTATCCTGCATCTACCACTTCTTTATAAAAGACCATAGTGGAAATGGTGACATAATCTTGAAACTAAAATAATTTCAAAATGGCAGGAATACTATTTTCGCATGAATGAACCTATATTTCAGGTAGTATGAGTGAAATGGTCTCTCTCATATATTGCATCTCTAATTAAGACTGCACATCTGATTTAAAATATTCAGCCTCAGTTGTTACAACATAGGCATGCTGCCATTGTTGGGGTGGTTTTTTAATTTTACTTTTGAAGTCCTTTAATCTTTCCGTCTCTTGACTTGCTTTAAAAGAGGACTTCAGCTCTGGGGGTAGCGATGAAAATGTTAGAAGCAATACTACGTTGCAGCTAAGAGGGAAGAGAGTTAAATTTGCAGAAGAATTGAGCCTGGAGATATTTGATAAAACAATGCCACCAGTTACACCTCTGCAAAAGGGCAACATTTCAACAACTGAGCAGTCACAAAGCAGCTCCAGCCTTCGGTCGGTCCTGAAGAAAACACCAATGAAGCACCTGATGGAAAGTGTGAAGGTTAGTGCACTGATGAGTTCTTTAAAAAAATCTGACATGCCATTGCACCTCTGTGGCATGTACTATGTAGCAATTTAAACATGGTTCAATTTTTAAGAAATATAATAAAAAGTATAAAGCACTGAAGCCAGTTAGGACTTATGTTAGTGTGTGATTGTTGGGGGTGTGGTCCGTGTGCAAAAGATGGCCTGCAGGCCGGATCCAGCCCACAGAGGGATTTTCTCCAGCCTGCGACAGGTCCCTCAGTCTCGCCTGGCCCAGACACCACCTGGCCTATAGCACATCCCACTACCCCTGGGCGCACAGCGGGGCTGGGGCAGCTCTGCAGCTGGACTGCCTTTCTAGACAGCCCAGGTGGTGACGTATCTTTCCGGGTGCAGCTGACTCCAGCCCCGTGGTACTGTTGGGGACCCACGCACACAGCCCCAACCCTGGCCCTCTCTGCGCTCACTCTGGACCTGGCCCAATGGAATGAACCAGCTCTGGACCAGCTGGAGCCTGTGCACACAGCCTCGCCCCCACTCTGTGCCTGCTTCAGACTGAGGAGCAGCAGCAGCGGGGGCCAGGCAGAAGCTGCTGCTTGGAAAGGGGAAAAGTAGCCCTCCCCTTCATGGCCAGGTCCTTGCTGAAGCCTCCTGGAGCCTGTGCCTAGGCTGCCCAAATAATTGCCGGCTCCTGTGTTAAGAGGATTTTTTTGTGTGTCTTCACTGTTTTTTCTCAAAACGTGAACAGGAATATCCAATGCTCAGTTGTCAATTACTAAAAATTATTTCAAGGAAGAGATTCATATTACCTTTAACTATATTTTATCTTAATGAAAAAAATGGTTTAATTTTAATAGGAGAACTTAAACAGCTCCAGAGGTGAGAAGGGAACCGTGTCTCCCTTAGCATCCAGTCCCTCAACAAGCTGTGAAGCATTGCAGACAGGTCAGAAATTGTTAAATGTTTTCCAGAGTGGCTAATTGTTTCCCATTTATCTAGGAATACAGTCAAGGTTGAATGGATACTTCTGTATTAGTAAACACAGCCTTGCGGAATCTGACAAAAAATATACATGTGAGCTAACTGTAAAGCAGTGTAGGAGTGACTTCATAGTTTGTGAACTAGGAAGAAAAACTGACCAAGAACAGGGGCAAATTTACTATATATAAAATGCCATCAAATGCTATAAGTGAACAGTTAGGAGAGGAATATTATGTATTTTACCCTTTGTTTTCAGTGTCGTTTGCACTTCTAATAACAAAGGTACGTATTTTGTTGGAAATGTAACTTTTCAAGTTGACATTGTTAAAAGGATATTTGTCTTTAAATGTGAGAAAATATATGAATGCTGACTGTTTAACATCTGGAAATATACCTGTGGCATTAAACCTGGAAAATATTTCTCTTTTCCTTAATACTCTTAATAAATGTTTATGAGAGCCCTTCTGGAAATGTGTGTCAACTCCATTGGAATTTCCTAACTTAAAGCAATTGCTTGTTGAAGCCCTTAAATGAAACATAAGATTTGTAGAGTAAATGATGATTTTTACTTATTTTTAGATTTGCTATGTAATTAATATTATTTGTTATCGTAGACCAAACTGAGCTGGACAGCTCTGAAAAGCCAACAAAAAGGAAAAAGGTCACTTTTGGGAGAGATTTAAGCCCAGAAATATTTGATGAAAACTTACCAGCAAATACTCCATTGCGAAGAGGGGCAATGCCAGCCAGCCAGTTGGGATCGCAGAGCAGTAGTCCTTCTAGAGCAGTGGGTCCTATCAGAGAACCACTATCCCAACCAAATTTTGATGATTCTGATGATGTGAGTTTAAATGATTAAATCAGCTTCTTAAAGTCTCTACAATATGCTTATCTTTTCCACTTAGTTCGGTTTTTTTAAAAAATTTTTCACTTTTGAAATCTGAAAAGGTTAGTATCCTCTGATGGTTACACTCCTGAATTGTTATCCTTTTGGAATTTTAAACACTGGCCTCACCTTCAACATCCTTCCTAAGTGGGAAATAATTCTGTTGGAATATTATCAGTGCATAATATTTTTACTTTTATTTTTCTAACATTTTAAATAGATTTTGTAGTGTGTTTCTACACACAAACACATACATCTAACAACTACACGAGTCAACCTGGACTATGTACATGTCTCATAAGTAATATAATAAGGTGAAAAGAGAAAAAATAAAAGGAGGGAAGGGGGAGAGAGAGAGAGAGAGAAAGAGAGAAGAAGAATTTAGTTGCCAAAATATTCTAAAAAATCTTCCCAAATTGCAGCAAACTTTTTGAAGCAGTTAGGGCTGCTAAACATGACTCTCTTCATGGACACCAGCTGTGCCATCTCACTGTACCAGATTTTGACCTTTGGAGATGTTCCACTTTTCCAATTCAGTAATGCAATCCTGCATGTCACTAATAAGATCTGCTATAGGAGTGCAATCTGGGAAGGATTCAGTTTGAAATCCTTAGGGATATACCCAAGAACACACATTTTTGCCAAAGGTATCAATGCTGTGTTCAAAACTATGTTAACTCTAGTTATAATTTCTTACCAAAAAAGAATTAATAGGGCATGATCAAAACATGTGAGCAAGCATTGCCTGCATTGCATCACATCCCCACCACATTTACTGATAGTATAATTCATTTTTTAAGTTTCAAGGGAGCCCAGTACAGATGAAAAATTGCCTTTTGTTGTAAACACTATGTTTCTTTATGTCCTAAATGTGACTGTTAGCAAGGGTGGTTCAATACGTTCAGAAACCTGCTAATTTAAATTAACTTTACGTATTATTTTACTATTTTTAATCTAGGAATATGTTAAGCCTCCTCAAGAGCTGATGAAGAATTTTTCCATGACAGACAATTCTTTACACCCTAAGGATGTGGAAGGTAATTTAGAAGTGTTACTTGTGTGGTTTTTTTTTACTCTGTATATGAACAAAGTCTCTGTGTCTTTTTTGAGAATTTAGGGAAAGGGTGACAGTTGGTGACATTCTATATTGAAACATGTTTCAGTGTGGCTTTTTAGGGAAAAAAAGTCCTTATGTCCTCATAAAATGATTTTCCAGTTACATTTTATTATTTTTCACTAGCTTTTAGGTCAACTCAGCATCACAGATGAAATCTCAGGATTTATTCATGAATGTGTACTAAGTTGAACTTCAGCTTACTTTTTTTTTGTATTTATATGTACTGTTAACAACTGAGTGCTGAGCTTAAGATGTTAATTTGAACTCAGTGCATGAAAGATAAGCCATGATGTGATGGAGTAG